GGGAGCGGGTCACTCGGAACAAGGCTGCTGGGCGATTTTCTGCAGACGCAATGAGAGCAGCAAAATAGTCCCGTTTCACCACTTCCATTGCCACAAGATAAGACCTAATATGGGTTCTTAACTGTGCTCGATCAGATTCGGAACGGGACGATCTCCAACAGCCCTCCAGGCATCTCTTCCGATGCTTCATCTCCCACAGCTCCGCAGAAAACCATGGAGCTACTCGGAATCCCTGTCGGCGGAGAGGCTGCAAAGGGGCGATTCGATCCAGTGCCCCGGTGGCGGCCCGTTCCCAGGCCTCCACCAGGGCCTCTGGCGAATCGCCGGCTAGGTCAGTGGGAAATGTCCCAAGCTCCGACAGGAACCTATCAGGGTCCATCAGGCACCTGGGGCGGAAACAGTGAGTTGGTTCCGCCTCCCAGCGGTGGGGGTTGACAGATGGAAAGTCTAGCTTAAGGAGGGAATGGTCGGTCTATGACAGGGGTTGGATAGAAAGTTCACCCCTACCCCGAGTATTTATCCACTGCCCAGAGACAAAAATCAGGTCGAGTGTGTGCCCACCACTGTGGGTAGGGCCCTGTACAACTTGAGTCAGGTCCATGACACAAAGGATGGAATACAAAAGATTTTTTTTAAAAAATGCTGCATGTCAAATAGGGATGCCATTGTTCCCTGTTCAAAACCTCCTTCAATAACTTTTTTCTTTAAATTGATTATTAACTGGATTTTTAAAAAAAGTCTCTTCAAGTCAGTTTTTGACTCGTGATGATTGCCTGGATAAGATTTTCAGAAATGGCTTGCCATTGTTTACTTTCTGGGTCTGAGGGAGCCCAAGATCATCCAGCTGGCTTTCATGCATAAGGCAGGTCTAAAACTCACAGTCTCTTGGTTTCTAATCTAAGGCCTTAACTCAGGGGTGTCAAACTCATGTTGTCACAGCAGCATCACGTGCAGGGATGGGTTCTAAATTTTTTTACTACCAGTTCTGTGGGCGTGGCTTATTTTGTGGGCGTGGTTTGATGGTCATGTGACAATTATTTAGGATTTACCAGAGGTACTGGTCTACCAGGCTTTTAAATGCTTGCAAAGCTGTACCAATCTACCCATTTATTTTTGCAGGCACTGGTCTACCCATTTATTTTTGCAGGCACCGGTCTACTCATTTGTTTTCTTTTAACACTGATCAGCTGTAGGGCGGCCCTTTGAAGCCCTGCAGCAAGAGTTTAAACAGTTTTTTTCCCCTCTAGCTATCAGCTGGGACTCAGGAGACAGCAATAGATTGGGGGTGGGGCCAAATAAAAGGTAAGAATAATGCAGGGGGTGTGGGGGGCAGAACCGGTTCGGTGATGTCATATCGTCACCGCTACCGGCTCGGTGGAACCGGGCCGAACTGGGAGGAACCCACCACTGATCACGTGATGTATTGGGACTTCCCCCCCCTTCACTAAACCGGGTGTGGGTGTGGCCAGCGCATGACGCACCTGGCCTGTGGGCTGAGAGTTTGACAGTTCTGTCTTACCACTGCACAAAACTGGCCCTCTAATTTATTACTAAGTGATCATTAAAACTTTGGGAGGACAGTGAGAAATAGCATTCAGGAACAAGCATAGGAAGGCCCCACTTCCTTTAAAAAATGTTGAATCACAGAAGATTTCTGATGGGCTATGCCTGCAGGAACGGCTTACATAATTATAGTTAAGAATAAGCAGCCTGTTAATCCTCCCCTTCTTTCTGTAGCTACCTGAAAAAAAAAATCCTGAAAATCATTGGAGATTTGGGGAAGTCTCTGCAAACCACATGTTATTCAGGATACAGAAAACATCTCCCCCAACTTCTTTGTGGAGGGGAACAAATGTCTTGAAAAGGAGGGATGAGCATATGACCTTATATAATCTATCTTGCTTCAGAAAATTCCTCTTATACCAATTGAGGAATCATTCCTACGAACAAGCCATCAACTCTCTAGAGATATTTTGCAGAACAGAGAGCAGGAAAGTTCTTCTTTAACTTTGGTTCCAAACTTATTTTATTTTATGTAGTATACAGTAGATAATCTTTCTGACACATTTAGAAGTGTAATATATATAAACCACCATTCTTGGTTGCCTGTCTAGATCTGAAAATATTTCAAGTTAATTAAGATAATATTGGTTCCATTTTTATTTAAGTGTGAAAAGTCTTTATATATATATATATACATATATATTGGATAACTGTACAAATAACACAATTTCATTTTAACCATAAACAGTTATCACCACAGTTGAGTGCTATCAAATATTTTATTTACAAAACAATTATTAAAATGCCTGATGCCAGATTTTCTTGTAATATCTTACCCATAGGGTAATAAGTCCACCATAATTACTAGGTGCTTTTTTATATAATACAGAAGCATAACACCCTATGTTAATAGTTCTTCTACAAAAAAATTCACAAAGAACTATGAATTTGACCAAAAATACCAATGAAAAATAAGGCTCAAAAATACAATTTCCCCTTACTTTACATAACACAGAATAGGTTTAAAAAGGCACAACTTTGAAATTTGTATAAATGTAAGGAATTGTCTTAGCCAAGGAGCCCAGGACCAGGCCTTATAAATTGGTTGTCATCTTTTATGATAAGTCTCACACATAGCAATTGCTTTCTTTTTGCTCTCATAAGGTTCTTATCATAACAGTTGTCCCATAGGAGTCCAAATAGCCCTCTTCTTGGATGCTTTTGTGCTAATTTCCATAGTCTTAATGTCGAACATCAAGACTTTGATAGATACTATTTAGGGCTCTTCCACGCATCCCAATGGACTATCCAATTACTAGCTATCCTTTAGATCAGTGTTTCTCCATCTTGGCAACTCCTAATATGTATGGACTTCAACTCCCAGAATTCCCCAGATAGTATACCATTTCCCTAGATCACCATATTGGTTTACCAGCAACTTCAGGGGAAAGAAGACCTAGAAATGTGCCTGGGGTCAGATGGAAAGCAATGTGAAGTTATGGAAGGAAGGATTTCACTAAGGCTGATGTTACACATCATATGTGAGCTGCTTAGTCGGAGCGGATGTTTTTTTTCCTACCTGGTCTTTACAATACACTCCTTCTCTTTCACACATACAGTAATGTTCTGTGGAAATCCCTTGCAATTAAGGATGCATTACTTTTAATAACCATAGAGTGATATAAATACTGATAACATAGTACAAAACACAGTAATTTAAGGCAGTGATCATTCAATGCGACACATCTTTTTTTTAAGGTGACACTTATTTGATCAATAGGAAAGTGCACCATGATATAAAGGTACAAGTGAAATTCACCTAAACACAACTAACGTGCTGCTTTAAAAAGCCTCAAATATCATTAGAAACCCAGGGCAACAGTAACAACTCTGGAAAAAGCAAGTGAAGGTTTTTAAAGAGAGACAAAAAACTTATTTCATTTTCCTTTAGTAAAAATTTGCTCATTCCAATATGTTTTCCTTAAAGATCATTTACAAAGTCTCAGTGAGAAAATATGAATGCTAATCAAACACTGCATGTCAAATATCTTTACAAATCTCAGATTGTAAGCCAGTATTATAATCACTGCGTTATAGGCTGTGTTGCATGATGTCATTACTTGCATGACATTGACACTTCAATGCTACAGGAGAAACTAAGGACAGTACAGAAAAGGAAGGAGTTATTTTCCATTTTCTCTTGATTATGCTCCCTCCCAATCTGCTTTTCTAAATGGGGACTGTCTACCTTCCACCAGAAGCTAAAACAAGCATATGGAACAAGCATATGAAATGGGAAATGAATATTTACTTGGGGGAAAAGCACTGATACCCTTCTCTTGCCTGCCTGTAGTACACTTTAAAATCTTATCTATTTTTTTTAAATAGAAGAAATGGAAGCAATCTGGTTTTAACCGTGGGCTTATTTCTGGCCCATGGGAAAACTGGGTGCTTCTCAGTCAACACTTCTAGCTGTTAAATTGTATAGGTTGATAATGATAAAAATGCTAAGCCATGCGCTGAAAAAGAAAGCATGCCGTCCTCACTGTAAGTTCTCCCGTATCTGTCTTGAGGGCTTAGACATTTTTTAAATCGTATTAATAGCTTTTGAAGGAGGGTTTCAAGAAGCTAGCTCCACACAGTTTTAACAAAAAAACAAAAACAAAAAATGGACTCAAAGTAGGAAAATGAGAGGATTCTTTTTATGGTAGCTTAGTGTAATGTAGATTATTAAAGCAAGACCAGGGGTGAAATCCAGCAGGTTCTGACAGGTTCTGGAGAAGCCTTAGTGGAAATTTTGAGCAGTTCAGAGAAGCGTTAGCGGAAATTTTGAGTAGTTCATAGAACCGTCAAATACCACCTCTGGCTGGCCCCAGAGTGGGGTGGGAATGGAGATTTTGCAGGATCCTTCCCCTGGAGTGGGGTGGGAATCGAGATTTTGCAGTATCCTTCCCCTGCCATGCCCACCAAGCCACGCCCACCAAGCCACAGCATGCCCACCAAGCCACGTCCACAGAACCGGTAGTAAAAAAATTTGGATTTCATCACTGATCACGACTAGTATTTTTTTATGACCAGACTGGATGATTTTAAAGTCCATTATGCTTCCATGGTGTACTGAGGAACCTAGGCCTGTCTGATGCAGATAAATTCTACTGCAATTGTAGGTTTACGAACAAGCAAAGCAGATGGAGAACATTCAGTGATAATTGAGATGACATCTATTAGGGCAGATTTAACATGTGAAGAAAGACACAAAATGAAACACACACCTTGGCCTACAGAATGCTAATAGCAGCACTAAAACCTTGCTTGCTTGGAGGAACCATTGCACTGGCCTAGAGCAGTAGAGCATGCCATGCTTATAGTCATGTGCCCAGGAGATTTCCCGTCTTCATAGTCATTACCAATGTCCACATAAGACTTCCGTTACTCTACTAACAGGCATAGACTTTTTTTGTCTGTGTTTTTTTTTAATTAAATATGTAGGATTGATATTATTACCAGTTGTGTTTATTTTGCCCATCCTGTGGTTGCTTCCCCATTGATGTAGGCAAAGCCAGGAAAGTGTTGCATGTGCTCATATTCAGAATTTCTCCGTGTGGTTAACGGTGTGTACATGTCACTGGAATTTCCATATCTTGTGGAATGCATTGGTGGACTTGTATAACAAGGGTTTGCCGAGGGCACCTCTGGCCAGCGAGGTGTAACTGGAGATGGATGTAATCTTGGGGTGCTGCTCATCAAGCATGGCTCCATCCGTGAAGACGGGCTATTGAAAGGGTACTAAAAACACGAAAGTATATTGTCAAAACATTTGTCATGCAATTACAGTTCAGATTCCTCTGCCCTGCCCCCTCCCCCCGCCCCCCAGAAAAGAAATAAATAAAATGCAAATTCTGACAGAGCTGTCTCCATAACTCTTTAAGGTGGGAAATAATAGAATTACAAAAATCTGTGATTGTGCAAGGGAAAGCAAAGTGGGTCTAGGAATTTTAACCCAGTATACAATAATAATATAATAATCAAATCAGCAAGCACAAGATAAATAATAAAGGTTTGCTATTGCAATTAATACAAAATAAAAATTTATCTCATTGTATCATGAATTATCACATATTGTACAATTCTATGCAAACATTTAGGTACACCTAGTTACATTGAAAGTTTTAATGAATTCCTAAGTGAAAAGTTCCTGATCGTGTAACTAAAGTAAGGTGAAAAATCAAGCAAGTTGGAGGAAGCTGTAAATTCTATTGTATGGGAATAAGCCTTGATGTGAAAGAAGTTTTTTCATTCACAGTTTCCACCTTTACTCCAGACCCTTTTTGTTCCAGATTTCAGGCCTACCTGAAACCTGTATCTCCTCACTTGAAAACCATATTCTTTATTTGGAAACAGAAAAAGGTCTAGTTTTTTTTAAAAAAAACATTTTCAATCAGATATATAAATATTTGATGAGTCATTTCTAGATGGAAACCTTATATGGATTTTTTTTGCTGAAAGAAGAAAACATGATATTATAATTCATGGGTTGAGGATTCAAAAAATCCGCGGAAAAAGTGAGGGCTTGAAGGAATTTGAATGACATATAGGAGGGAGGATTATAAGATTGTGTTTGTTGAAGAGGACAGAAGTCATATTTCATGACTTTGTTTTTTTTTTACAGCCCCCTTTTCTTCTTTTCTTTCTTTTCTATTTTTTCTTTAGATTTGGCTTTTAATGTATATAAACTTCTCAATATAAATAAATAAATAATTTCTTGTATCGTTCACTGAGGCATGACACAATGCATAATACTGGGGCAAGACCATGGTTTCCTAGACCATGGTCTGCATTACCCAGTGCTTAAATCTGGCCCGCGGGGCCAGCCTGGAAATATCAAAGGATCAGCCTGCGGTGTCTCTGCCAGCCAAAACAGGCCACCGTTTTCGGTCTCCACAGCCAGCTGCAGGACTCTCCCGGCCAAAAACAGCCTGCACGGGGGGCCCGTTTTGGCCGGCAAAGTGATGCAGGAGGTGTCCTTCCCGTCTCCCCCCCCCACACTTCCACACACACACACACAAACACCCGCTGGCCCGCAGAGAACTACAATGCTGATCCGGCCCTCAAAGAAATCCAGTTTGACACCCCTGAGCTACGTGAAGGGCTACTGGCAAGGGATGGACTGCACCTCACAAGAACTGAAAATAATATATTTGGAAAATGACTGGCTCATCTTATCAAAAGAGCTTTAAATTAAAATTGAGGGGGGAGGAGGGCCAATTTTCATGACCTTTAGAACCTAATGCCAAGTAAAAACCACTAAATAATCAATCACATAAGAAGGGAAGTAGGCAGTAAAGAGAAAGAAGAAATAAAAAAAGAAAAACACAATGAAGTAGAGCGTGATGGAAAGGATGGAAATCCCAATTACAAAGTAGGAGATATAAGAAACACACCAAAGACCCATAAAGGACTCAAGTGTTTATAAATCCTCAAAGTTTAGGGAGAAAACAGGGTAAACTTGAAGTATTAGTACATGAAGGCAAATATGATATAGTTGCCATTACTGAAACGTGGTCGGATAAACCTCTTTCTTCTCATTGGCAATGCAGATTGACAAAAGAAAAGTGTCTCCTTAAAAATGGCCATAGATTCCTCATTTTATTAACATTCTGAGGCAAGCAAGCCCAGGAAAAAGAAAGGGCTAATAAACAACTGTAAAAACAAGGGGAACAGGGACACAGTGAGTTATTTCTCTGTATAGCCAACTCTGTCACTCCCCCCGCTGTTGATGCAGCTGCGTTTATGAATGTGTCATGAATATAAGAAAGAATAATTTCTGGAAAATAATATGGCATTGCAAATATGTAGTATTTATTACAATAAAATCTGTGATGGCTGAAGCCCCAGCATGGAAAGATTTGTACGGGTAGGTCAGCTAATTGCAAATGAGTCAGGGACTTTTTTTCCCCTTCCAGTGAAGAGACTATTGAGAAACAATATTTTTAAAATCCGCCTTGGACCCTGCCTGCCTATTAACTCCACCAGTGAAGCATCTATTCAGCCTTGTTGGAGTGTCCAAGGCTTCACCATCTGCGCGGATGCTTGCCCAAGAAGCCTGAATCACCTTTCACACTCCGCATCCGGTTTAATGAAGAGTGCTTAAGCACGCTGATCTCAAAACACTGGGGCCTACTGATCTTTGCGTAGTATAAAGGCGACATTTGTTGGAGAGCTCTTGACAGGAAATTACCATTTTCTGGGTCAACTCACTTGCCATCCCTATGCTGTTGAACCTTGACAAGAAACACTGGCCCCTTTAAGTTGGGGTGACTTTAAGCTGATTATTGTTAAGGCCCTTTCTCCCCCATATTTGAAATGAGCTCTAGTTCTTTCCCGTTATTATTTTAGAAAATCTATTTTAAGTTCTCCTCCACCCAACCAAGATTGGGTTCTTGAAGATCAGGCTGAAGAATAATATCTTTCTTCTTATCCTTCAGCTTTCTGGTTGATTATGCAGAATGAAAGGTGTCTCTCTTCAAAGCAAAAATATTTTCCTTATGAATGCAACTCTTTAACAAAACTCTTAAGAGTTTTGTTCATATTTTAGAAAATCTGATATAAAGCAACACTATTGCTTTAAAATATTTAGCCTTACAGAGTTGTAAGGTCTTTTAAAAATGTCCATTAGGTATGGAATGTAAGTTGTAAAATCAAGGCATGATACAGATTTTTTTAAAATTGATGGTTTTATATATATAATATTACAATCCTTGTTTTCCATGTCAAATGCTTCTCCATCTTTCACTTAATGTACAATATCATGGGATTATTGAAATTCAGACTTAAACCAAATTTATTGGTTATTTCAAAAGACAGCCATATTGGTCTAGTGGTTAAGGCAGCAGGCTAGGAAGCAGAAGATTGTGAGTTCTAGTCCTGCCTCAGGCATGAAAATTGACTGGATGACTTTGGTTCATTCACTCTCAGCCCAATTCATCTCACAGAATTGTTGTGGAGAAAATAGCCAGAGGAAGGAATATTAGATACATTTGCTGTAATAATAATAATAATAATAATAATAATAATAATAATAATAATAATAATAATAATAATAATAATAATAATAAGTGGGATTAACAAATTAAAAAATCCTACTCTAGCTCAGGATACATTCCTCTACTGTCCTGTTACTGTCCTCTCTCGGTGCCTGGAGGCTGTGGGAGCCTAGGTGCATGGAGCCCCGAGATCCAGGACTTTGTCATCTTTAATTCTGGATGTGGTCACACTACCCCAGATGGATCCAGTCCGCAAATTGGGGGTTTTCCTGGATTTGTGACTCCTGCTCGAAAAGCAGGTGGCAGTCGCAGCTAGGAAGGAGAGCCTCTTTGTGCAACTTCAGGTTGTGCGGAAGTTGTGGCCTTTCCTGCATCAGGAATCCTTGCACTTAGTCATTCAGGCCCTAGTCACCTCACAGCTGGACTACTGAATTGTGCTCTATGTGGGGCTACCCTTGAAGAGCATTCAGAAGCTATAGCTGGTGCAGAGTGTGAAGGCGCAGGTAGTTCTTGGGGTCTCAAGAATGGCTCGTGTAACATCACTACTTCATGAGCCACACTGGGTGCTGGTCTGCTTCCGAGTGCAATTCAAGGAATTGGTAATCACATTTAAAGCCCTTTGTGGCATGAGTCCAGGCTACTTAAGGGACTGTTTCATCCCACTGGGATTGGCCCACCCCTCAGTATAAATATTGTATTGAGACTTGGACTAGCTCCATACAAGAGGGAACTTTTTCTACTGGAGGTAGAAAACGTAACTACTTATGGAAGAACAAAGGTCAAAGTGGGCAGGTAAAAGGGTGTTTTAGTCTGAAGAAAAGTGTTTTTTATTTATTTGTTTTAACAGTGTTAACCTAAATAAAGAATTTTTATGTGTTTTTCTACCTCTTGAAGGTATGAAACCGTGACAAAAAAGGCACACTTCTAGCTGTCATCAGATGGCAATATTTAGGGGAAAGGGCACGCCTATCCTATCTGACCTGAAAGATGTCTTTAGGAATAGGTGATCATATTCAAAGTGTTTAAAGGTGATGATTAGCACCTTGAATTGCACCTGGAAGCCAGTGCAGCCTTTGCAACAGAGGTGTTACAAGGGCAAACCTAGCTCCTCCCTCCCCATTACTTTGCACACTGCTGCATCCTAGACCAATTGAAGTTTGCTAGTGGTCTTTAAATGCAGCTCATTAAGAGCACTTTGCAGTAATCCAAATAGGAGGTGACTAAGGCAAGAGTCACAAGAATCAAGGCTTCCCCATCAGGGGTGGATTCCACTTATCTTTGCTACTGGTTTGCAATGCACGCACAGAGCATCTGTGATGACGTCTGGGCGGATGGACGGAGCCTCCCGTCACCGTTACTACCGGTTCACAAGATCCGGACCGAACTGGTAGCAATCCACCCTGTTCCCCATCCAGAAAAGGGTGCAATTGGTACACTAGATAAATCTGTGCAAAGACCCTCTAGCTATGGCTGCCACCTGCTCTTTGAGTAGGAGATGTGAATAAATCAGTACCCTATGGAAAAAAAACCCTGAAGCTCAGCAGGCCTCTACCCTCCCAGACTTCTCTAAAGCTTTGAAGACCTGGCTTTTTCTCCCAGCACTAGAATAAAATGAGATGACTGCATATCAGAAGTTTGGCTTGGCACCAGGTTTTTGTTTTTAGTGTTTTGCTTAGTTTTATGATTTTATTATGGATTTTATTCTATTTTAACTTTTGATTGGGAACTGCTCAGAGTTGGTTATAAGATAGGTGGACATATAAATGTTTTAAATAAATAAATAAAATGTTGTCAATTTTTATAATTGTACTAGAAGGGACCACATAAAAGATTTTAAGAGCTGAATGTAATCTTGGAACCATAGGCTGACCACCTGTGTCACAACTCATGGTTTATAAATCATTACAGCTGGGTTCATGCAATAGTCTAAGCGGAAACCAAATGAATTTCAGCATAGCTTTAAATGAACTCTGGACGCCAAGACAATAACCTATGTGCATCTTGAATGCACATGGGTTATTTAGTCAACTTCCTTATATCTTTTCCTCCCTGTGTGTTATGCTTGGCACTTGATCTTTTTCTGTGCTTTTCAGGCTGAAAATAACAGGTGAAGTATTGCTCATCATCAAGCCAAGAAAGGTTTTTTTCTGTTAAATTTTTACAAGGCTCCTAATTCAATCATGAAGGCAGGTTTGTGGTAAATCCACTGGGTGAAGTAGGTTTGCCCAAAGGAAACCGGCGAAGACAATTTTAGGGTTAATGTCGCTCGAACATTAGTATAAAGCCTCAGAGATGCTTTGTTGCAAGTTGCACATTTTGTCCCCAAGGAAACATGACCAGCACATGGGATACAAATAATTTCAACAAGGTGAAGGATGCAAGTGCTCTGAACCTGAGAATTCTCCCATCCATGCTCCATTAAAAGAAAAGAAAATCATGTTTTGTTCACACCTATTATTTTATTCTGCTCAAAAGCAGTAAACTACTGTGGAGAATAAAATAGGCACACCAAACCTGGAGGCCCTTGGAAGTTCCTCTTTAGAAGTTTAATTGTTTACTGTTCATAAATATTACAAGAATATAGCCTGCATTTGTCAGAACTTTGTCAATTTTCATACCAACTAACAAACTTAAAAGCAAATGAATAATCAAACACTGAGTGGGCACATGTGAAAAGGGGCAGAGTTTGATCTTGTGGCCACTGGTTTTTTTGAAATCATTTCTTGTGGTTGTCCTGTGATGGATGTTTCATTTAAACCAGGAGTCCCAATGCCTGGTCCATGAACCAGCATTGGTCTGCAGCATGCCAGAAACTGGGCCATGCAAACAAGTGAAGCCCAATCCGCGGGATGCAGGCAGCCCACGAAACCACACCCCCTCCGGTCCGCAGAAAAACCTCTCTCCATGGAACTGGTCCCTGGTGCCCAAAAAGTGGGGGGGGGACTGATTTAACGTAATGAGCTAGGAGATTGATGTGGAGGGATGGACACTGACCTGTGAAGAGTTTCTGTGATAAGCTGAGTAATGGAGGGGTGCAGAAATAGTGCTGTCGTGTGGTAAAGATGGATACTGGCTCTGCATCGGGTGAGAGTGCTGGTTTCCGTAAGTACCATAGTTGTAACTTCCTGTGTACCTGGAAAAACACAGAGGAATCTTGGAACTGTATTTCATACAATAATCCCTTCCCCAAATTGAGGCTAATTGGAGAAGCTAGCTTGGTCTAGTGGTACAAGGCTACAAAACCAGATATTGTCAGTTCAGGTCCCACTTTAACCATGAAAGCCAGCTGGATGACTTTAGGCCAGTCACTCGCTCTCATCCCAACCCACCTTACAAGGTTGTTGTGTGGAAAATAAGAGGAGGAAGGGGTTTTGGAGATAACGCCTTGAACTATTTGAAAAAAAAAATAATGGTGGGATATAAATAAAAAAATAGTTCAAAGGGGCTGCAAAAAAAAAAGTATTAACCTACCCATGCTCTTCTCTGTGATGATAAACAGGTATCCTGTGTGTCACAGATGAATGAGGAACGTGAGGACTTCTCATGCAAGGCAGCGGTTGAGAGTTTTCAGCAGGTGATCCAGCAGCTGTAGTTACAGTGTACGTGAGAGACCATGTATAGGACTGCATGGCCCCTACGTAAAGCAGAAAGAGTCAGTTAGCTTCGAAATACTTTATAATCTCCACTAAAATCAAATGCAAGGATGCTCTGTAGATCTTGTAGATTCGAGGAGGAGGAGGAGGAGGAGGAGGAGGAGGAGGAGGAGGAGGAGGAGGAGAGGAGGAGGAGGAGGAGGTCTTAAATTGTCAGGGTTGGACACTGCTTTAAATGATTCAGTATTAAGGGCACAACTGGGGTCAGACTGAGGAAGAGATGATTGCAATTGTACCTCTGCCTTGCAATAGTTAGTTTTGTCTCCTAACTATTTGTCTCAGATTCCAGAGAGGTTTACACTTGCAAATTGTTCCCAGAAGATGACTAAATAGGCATGGTAGCACAGGAGTAGAAAAATGGCAAGGGCTAGAAGTATTTACCTTTCCACCTTCCTCACATTAATATATAATTAATTAATATACTCATTCCAAACAGTCTTTCCAAACCTTTTTCTTTAGTAAAAGTGGTAATCAGGACTTTATTGTAGGCATTTGCATGTGGTATTTACTTTCTCTCTAAGGCCATTTTCATTACCTCATGGAAGGAAATTCTGATTGCTGCAACTCAGAAATTGCATCTTACCCTGAGGTAAGATGGGCAGCCAATAAATTTAATAAATAATAAATAAAAAGGATATTGTAGACTGGAAAATCTGTAGAAAAGACTAACCAAAATGACCAAGGATGGGGATGGGGCTAGAACAACAGAATACCAGTGATGGGAATTTGTTTCCATCTTATTTCCTTCCATTCTAAATGTCTTTTTTTCTGTGCTTATCTCAGAAATACATTTGGTTTAAGATTCTTGGAAATAATTCTTTTGTAAAAACTGGATGGAAGAGAAGCACTATACGAAAAGCAGGTTGGGTCACTCATATTCATTAAAATCACAAATCTTTCTCTTCATGTGTTAAGTCCAGTTTTCCTATCTTTTGTGAGGGTCCAGATATTAGGTAATTATGAGTCCATGCAAAAACATCAGTATATTCTTTAAGAGTTGGGTTAAGGTACTTGGGCTGCAAGAATTCAAAGCTGGGATGTCAGGGGTATGTTCATCTGTGTGTTTCTTGATCTCTCAGCAGCCTTTTGACCATGGTATTCTTTGAACAGGTTGCAGGAGTAAGAGTGTGAGGCACTATGTGGCAATGTTTTTCCTCCTTTGATAGTTGCTAGTCCAGTTAACAATAATCTAGTTAGTGGTAGTGGTGGGAGAGGTCACACCCTTGGCCCTCATTTATGAGGTGCCTCAGGGCTTGATACATTCTTCCCTCCTGGTTTAACATTTACATGAAACCTCTGGGGCCAATCATCAACTGGTTCAGAATTCAATGATCATCAAAAGGCAGATTACATTCAAGTGTAATCTCATCTAGGGTCAGCCAAATGACACTGTCAATGTCCTGTTCTGGTGTCTGGAGGCTGTGTGAATCTGAATGGCGAGAAACAAACTCACACTCAATCCTAGCCTGAGTGGCTATGGATTTTTGTTTCCCCCAGAATTTTTGCTCTTTAGTCCTGGACGACTGATGCACAATCTTGGGGGTCATCTTACCTCAATAAGAATAGGTGGCCACTGTAGCCAAGAAAGCCCTTGCCAGTTGTACCCATTTCTTGATCAGGAGGCTCCCCAAATGACCATTCATACCTAATCCCCTCGCAGATAGACCACAGTGCTGTGCTTTACATGGGACTATCCTTGAAGACCATTCAGTTGATGTAGCTGGTCCAGAATGTAGCAACATAGCATGTTTTGGGCATGCCTTGGTGTGTTTATGTGATAACACTATTCTGAGAGCAGCACTGGTTGCCAGTTAGCTTCTGAGTGCAATTTAATGTGGTTATGACCTATAAAGGAATGAGCTGCCCCTAGAGCTGCATCTTAGCCCCGACCTGCATACTTTTCGCCGCGCCCTTAAGACCCTCCTGTTCCAGCAAGCCGGACTGGCCTAATATGAATTTTATTGTGTGTTTTAAATTTGCGGGCCAATTTTATATATTGATTTTAATTTGGTTTTAAATTTTATAAATCTATGTGTTTTAATATGGCTATACACCGCCCTGAGTCCTTCGGGAGAAGGGCGGTATAGAAATCTAATAAATTTAAAGCCCTTCCTGGCACAGGGTCTGGTTATTTGAGGGACAGTGCTGTCTCCCATGGTTTTTGCCCATCTGATCAGATTGGATAGAATCAGTGTCACAAAAGTGCTTTTTCAAGAGGCAACTGGACTTTCTGGTTTTTTCTTTGAAGACATTTCATTTCTTGGATGGGAAGCTTCTTGGATGAAAAGCAAAACTTCTTCAAGCAAAAAACCAGAAAGTCCAGTTGCCTCTTGAAAAAGCACCTCGGGGACATCCATGACCCGGATGACTGAGAATCTCCATAGACAACATAAGCCACACAGAGTTGCTTAGAACTGAGCGGAATCTAAATTTCGTTAATAACTCAGTCAGCAAATCCCATCCCTGATCTGCCTCCAATTTTATTCAAAGGATTTATTTGATGTGGTCTTCAAAATAAAGATAAATTTTGCAGCCCTATGCCTAATAATTCACTGATGATTGGATAGTCTTCTTAAATAATTCTATTTCTATTTCTCATTCTGTATAAATTTGGGGTGTAATGAAAACTTCTCCCTCCTTTCTCCCTCACAGTTTTAGGTCAACATTATCCTTTCAAAGGTTTATAAACAAGCAGTTCTTCTTAGCTTTACCAACCTGTGGTGGTTGCTAAGCCAGCATACTCTGGGGACTGACTGGTTATAGGAGAGGGAACGGATGGAACATCCACTGAGGTGGCAGATTTCGCTGGAGAGAAAGCAACAGGGGAGGGACTCGATGGGACAGGTTCTGCCACTATGATCTCTTCTCGTACTTCAACTGCAGCCAAGAGAAAAGGAATAGAAAATATAAACATGAGAATTATATCCCAGCATTCTTCTTTCTCTATTCATTCTTTTTTTCCCCCTTAGGATGCAGCAACTCATCAATAAAATTGTAAATGAATATTGCAAGCTACTAAAGCAGACTTTACTTTATCTCAAGGCACTTTAGTACAAATATCTGTCATGCCTCAAGAGAAGCTTTTCTGGTGGGCCAGTCACACACTCTCTCTCAGCCCAACCCACCTCACAGAACTGTTGCTATGGGAGGGGAGGAAAAGGAGGAGGAAGGAGTATTAGGTATGTTTGCTATCTTGAGTTATTTGTAAAAATACTAAAGATAGGACATAAATAAATAAATAGCTAATGAATGAATATTAATTACTGATGATATTTATTAATAACATGTAAATAAAATAAATAAACCTAAATCAAATGAATTAACTTAATTTAACGGAGTGCATTAAAAAAAAAGTAAATAATATAGTGAAACCACTCCATGTGCATTGAGAATATCTAGAACGAGAAGTCTAGGTTCAGACAGCTGAAGTTAACTTGCCAAACTGTCTGGATGTAATAGGAATTTAAATGTAACACAATTGCAATGCATCAAATTGGAGAAAACTGGTGGGAATGCTACTGTACAATAGCAGCTACTTTTGAGAGTAATTTGGAAGCAGCTGCGATTTTAATGTGCCTTTCTGATCTTCAGGAAAAGGCTTGTTGCTATTTTGCTAAAGTGGGAGAGAGAACTTTGTATAAAGCAGTCTCTAGAAAAGTTTGGTGGCCACTGTAGATAAGTCTTTCTCCTTCTGTATGATGCATCAGCATATTAGCCTTTAATACCTTTCGCAAAAGGGAAAAAAATGCAAATATAAAATTTTATTGAAAATCAAGTGTGGCAGTAAAAGAATTAAAGATGATAGTGAGGGAGGGAAAAAATCTCTGTAGTGCCCCCTCTCTCTTAGTGCCCTAAATGCTTATTTTGCTGAATGGTTAATCCAGACCTGAAACAAGGCTGCAGATGCGAAATGGGAGCCCTTCCTGCTCTTCAGAGATTACATAGGGAAGGTGCCACACTCTTCTACTTGGGAATCAAAACTTTCTGAACTTTCTGTGAAATAAGTTTAATAGTTTCTAAGGCTTCAAGCCTGCAAACTCGAGTGTTTCCTTTGCCCTGATTTAAACAAGATACAAGCTAAAGGGAAAGCTCATACAGTATATAGCTTTTCGATTGATAAAACTTTCATCTATCCCATAATGTCCACTGGTGCTTCTAGCCCAGCTCCCCAGTTTCTAACAAAGATGTAGTAGTTTTTTCTCTGCAAAGCATCTTCATAACCATTGAGCATTAACCCATAACCCAGGGTACAGAAATCCAAGTAATGGGGAATCGTATAAAAACAATAAGTCAATGCCAGTCAAAAGACTTATTATAATGTGTGAGGACAGTCAGGCCTAATCAATTTTTGTCATTTGTACCACACACACAAAAGCAGATGTTCTATTGGTAGATTTTTTTCTCTACTATTCTAACAATAACAAACAGAGATAAACATAGGACCATTTGGGGTGGATTGATGTAACTTCAAGACCTTGATGTAACCTTACCTATTCCAGTGCCACCTTTCATCGCCCTCATCAGTTCATTGGCTCTCTCCTGGCAGTGGAGTGATTCTAACAAGTACAACACATAGTCATCAAACATCAGGTGAATAAGGTGAAAAGATCCTGGTGACAAAATAATGTGAGGAAAAAAGTGAATGCCATTTGCATAAAACTTATTGGTATTTACAGTCCTGCTATTACTCACTTAATTGTGAGCCTCAGGGGAAAGAAAGAAACTATGGTACCCAAGGGAATGATCAGCTCTGGTTGCAGGCAATATGAGAGGTGCTACCAAAAACACAACTCCATGGGTGTGGAGTTGCACTGCTCCTGCCTGCCTGCCAATCAGTTGTTTGATAGACAAAAATGCTGTGTCTTTGAGTTAGTTTTGACTTCTGATGGCTGTTCTCTGCAGTTTTCTGCAAGGTTGACTCAGCCTTCCACCCTTGGAAACAAGTTATATGGCAGCTTGCCAAACGAGATAAGGTGTGTTGAGAAATATTCCTTTGAAAAACTGTTTGGACAAACCTTGCTGATTGTGAATGAACATAATTCACAGTTGTGTAAATAAAAGAGGTTTTGCCGGGATCAATTCCTGCCGCCTGCTTGTTAAGGGAACCTAGGTCAGAACATGAGGGGATTTTGACAGCTGATGCATCTTCATGGTATTCGTACAACACTTAGCTCTGATATCACACAGGCTCTCTCAGCAGAATGGCATACTGGATCTACATGCAGGATGGACGATGGGTGACATTTGGTTTTTAACTCAGGTATTAATTATAAAGGACTGCTTCCAGATATACTGGATTCGGCCTTTCTAATCAGCAGTTGAAATTTATCAGATATGCAAGGCACCAGATTATGGAAGATTGCATCAGAAGAAATAGAGCACCCTTCCCTGGGGGACTAGAAAATTGCCGTGTCTAGAATGACCTTTATAATAATTATCAAATTCAGGCAGAGTTAATGGCTGTATTTTTCAATCTGATTTGATAATTTGATAATGTGGACCTTCTGTTATATATCAGCTCCCAAAGATTTGAAACAAATGCAAAAAACAGCCAATCTGACTTACTCGATCAAAACTTGGATGTGCTTGAGGACAATATTCTAGTAGGATTGCCTTTCAGTCAAGCCTACCTGGATTTTTCTTGTTGCTCTGTAACTTCTCCTTACACATTAATAGTTATCTCTCTTATCTATATAACTATAGTTATAACTATAACTATATAACTAACTTATCTAAATAACTATATAATATGTAGGGAGAAATTCAATGTTAAGATGCAAAAATAGCCATATCAACTTGTGTTAAGATAATATGAAAGGACATTAAATTATTGTTTACACTGTGATCTTATACATGTTTATTAATTAATAATATTCAATTTGCTTATTTTACATTAATTGGGGCTACTTGAACTTCTCTGTTGCCTACATTAGGGTTATCAATTTTTTTACAATGTGAAAAAGTGTATTATTCTGATACTGTTTTCTTCTTCTCTCCATGCCGACATCAAAAATTGATGACTTCATATCTGGTCCTATGGAATTAAAGGATCCTTGACAGATGGCTGTCTAGCCTCTAACTGAAAATACCCAGTGAAGGGGAGATTCTCTGATGTTGTGGCCCACCAGCAGCCAGCAGAGCTGACAGCAGATTCGGACAGTGAGGTGGTTGGGGAGGAACATGGGCCATTCCTGGAGTCTGGGGAAGGCTCTGATGAGGGCTCTGCGTCGAAGGCAGAGAGGGGGCCAGGGCCGTATGCCAATTATCAGCTGCCTTCGGAGTCAGACATCAGTGAGGCAGATGAACAGCTGGAGCCTGTTCCCAGTGTGCACATGCACAGAGTTGCCAGACGAAGGGAATAAGCTAAAGAACAAGGGTTGACTTGGGAGTAAGGCACAGGTGGACAATGAACAGCCCCTTCCAGAGGGAATAAAAGAGGAGTGAAAGGGGAGTGGAGTTTGCAGGAGACAATTAGTTTGCTTAATTGGTTTGTGACTCGCCATGACTCCTTGCCAAGTTTTGAAGATATTGGCCTGGCATATTGACCTGGCCAAGCCAGATAAGGTCTGTGACTATAAATTCACCCTTGAAAGACTTTGCTGGATGTGAATGAGAAGAATTCACAGTAACTTAATAAATAGGGTTTTTTGTCGGGACAAGGAGTCTGCTTCACGGTTTGGGGAAGCCTAGGTCAAAACATCTGGATAAGAAATTTGATCATCAAACTCCTCTCATTATTAATTTCAACTATTATCTTTTTATAATATGCCAATAATGGTGCTAACAGTTTTTGAGTTTTTGAGAAGAAAACTTCTCTTGTGATGGAAAGTGATGATTTGGATAAAGGATTAGGGTTGTGGGGAAAAAAACCAGAATGTTTTCCTTCTCCAAAACTATCACCACCATTATTACTGCCTTCAACTCTACCGGAGCTCATTTGCTCCTTGAAAACAGCCACTCCCTGACCTTGTACACATGGAAAGATATGAAATGTCTTCACTTTTTTTTTTTTTTTTTTTTTTTTGTACTATGGTGCAAAATTACTCTTCTTGAAATCTCAGGGGGGAAAAAAAATAGTACCGAAGCTAGGGGCACTATGCAAAGTCATATCCCGAATTACTCTTGTGCCAAAACAGGACCACATCAAGAGGAACTGCGGGGCCACTTTCTTCAGGTAACCTGGTCTTTTTGCAGCTACCTGTCAATAAAAAGAAACAAGTGATCCAAAATGTGCTTACAAAGGTATCATCCGAAGTGTATGTCAATATTTTGCATATGCTGCATTCTTGTTGGAGAGATGCAGGCTGTAGTATGTTGCAGAGGTAGTATTCAGCCAGTTCGGACCGGTTCCCCCGAACCGGTAGCGGAGATTGCAGGTGGGCCAGCCCCCCCGCCCCCCTGCCCCGGTGCTATGCTGTCTTATTTAGCCACGTTTTCGAGGCCAGGCGCATGTGCCGAAGGCGAGCGCATGAGCAAAGCACATGCGTGGAAGGCCGGCCACATGCACGGAAGGTGTGCGTGTGGGGCGAACTGGTGGTAACAATATCTGAAACCCACCATTGGTATGTTGGCTTGCAATGTTGTCTTTAGACTCAAAGATTAGAGATCTTTGTTAACGGAGAATAGCATGAGCCTATTTAGCTAAAATTGCAATTGTTGGCCAAAATGTGTCAAATCTGATTGGTACTAGCCTTGATATTAGTAGGGAATGTTGCATTTGGCACAATAATATAAGGCTGGTAATCTAATCTATATCTTCTTTGTCATATGAAAGTCTTAGTTGATAAAACATGATAAGCAACAGAGGTCAATATATTCAGGCCAATCTGAAGATGATGATGCTAGCATATGGAAGAGCGTGAGAAAAGTAAATGGGAAAGAAAATGAATTAAGACTTGAAAAGAGAGAAGGAAATACAATAATGTTTTGTGAAACTAAGGAAAAAGGAAGAGGTGTCATAGAGGTGATTGAAAGTGACCTAATCTTATGGAATACAAACTATTTCTGAAAACTTCTGTACTAGAGCCTCCAGACAGTCTCTTCAGAATAGCATCTTCAGAAAGTGAATACTTCCCATTTAACATTATTTATAAGTTTGCAAATGCAATGAAAAGAATCAAGGTAAAGGTTCCCCTTGCACATATGTGCTAGTCATTCCCTACTCTAGGGGGTGGTGCTCATCTCAGTTTCAAAGCCAAAGAGCCAGCGCTGTCCAAAGACATCTCTGTGGTCATGTGGCCAGCATGACTAAACGCCAAAGGCGCACAGAACACTGTTACCTTCCCACCAAAGGTGGTCCCTATTTTTCTACTTGCATTTTTTACGTGCTTTCGAACTACTAGGTTGGCAGAAGCTGGGACAAGTAACGGGAGCTCACCCCTTTACGCGGTACTAGGGATTCGAACCACTGAACTGCTGACCTTTCAATTGACAATATGACAATAATATGTCTTAGCCACTAAACCACCATGTCCCTATTTTATTGTCATATTTCAATTTTATTATTGTTCAAATCAGCTGAGTTTTTTCCCATTTTTTTTTCTATTTTGGGATTGCCCTGGTAGATTTGTACAGTGAAAGCAGTACTCCAGCAATCCCGAGTGGTATCAGATAATTCAGGCAAAACCCATGAACCCAGATAAGCTCCAGGTAAATAAGTATATCTAGTCAAGTAGGCCACCTTAGAGCTTCCAAATCATTGCTGACTCAATATGCTCTTTCTCTGTTCCCATTATAGTCTCAAGCAAGTAATCGCTTACAACTTAAATCTGGGTTGGAAAAGTTTACTCTAATTACTGTGACCCACAGCAAGTAGATCTGGTAGAGCAAGTCTTGAAACCCAAACCATCAAGCACTGAAAGCAAACAAACCATTTGCTTATAAAAAAATATATTGGTTAAATTGCTCAACTTCTTTGCTAAGAAGTTGTTGAAATTGGTTGAATAGATAATAGGTGTGCCGTTGTTTTCAACCCATAATGTTTTTTAAAAATGTTATTTTCTGATAAAGTTCTTATTATCAAAAAAATTAATATGTTAGAGCATGGGATAAGGTAAGGAAAGAAAACTGTAAACTTGTTTCATTGTTACAGAATAGTTACAGTTCTCATATCAAAGATATATAGATATGAAAACAGTCCAAGTCATATAGAGCTTCAGAAAGAAACATAACACATGCCAATATTGATATTTCAAATAAAAAAGAGTTTACTACAAACTCCTCACTCCTGTTCCTGCTACCAAATGACTCTGAGCTATTGTTCCTTTCCAGTTCTGGCCGGAGACAGCTGTAGTTTATTGGTAGAAACCATAATTTGCATGTTCCATCATTTCGCAAACTGAGAAAGATCTCTGTTTGAAAGACCAAGGAACTGCTGATTGTCAAAATAGACAGCAATGAGACGATTGGACCAGCGATCTGACTCAATATGTTAAGCTTCCTATACACCTGCACCACTCCTTTGGCCAATGGGCGGTTGACATCACCAACCTATTGTCTCCTGAGCTGAAGGGAGAAAAAATCCTCAAGTTTGGAAATTGCTTCAAGAAGTTGCCTTCAGCTCCAGTTCTTAGATAAAAATTAACCAGTACTGGATCTAGAGCTCCACATGTGGAGGTTTTATGAGGTCTTATGCACCGTGTGATTAGCTTCTTTCATCCTTTGTGTGTTTTACTGACCTTCACAACACATCTATCCACCATGGAATCCAGCCATTCAATGTATGATTCAATGGGTGACTGTTCTTCCAAAAGGTGATCGAATTCCTGATATACTGGTAAAATAAAACCCAAGGAATCCAAATCATTAATTGTGTTGTCTCTTAGATGACAAATGAAAGCAAATGAAGAATGAATATAAATTGCTTAGCTAAATTAAACAACAGAAAATTAATGCTATATTTAAGAAGAGGAAAAGCTAAATCGTTTCTCATGACTATTCCTATTTATTTATTTAAAATATTTATACAGTTGCCCAGCTTATAATTACCTCTGGTTATATAAAGTCCTTCTTAGTCACGTTCCCTATAATCAGTAGTTTTGTATGATTTTTTCCTACATTTCCCAGTATTGTTTATTTGTAAGGAAAAGTCAGACTCCATTCTGAGAATCATTCTTCCACAATTAAATCAAGACTCTGACCCTTCAGACAGAAAAGGTCATGCATGAAATTCATTTAGAAATGCATCAAGAGGCTATTTAAATCCAGGACAGGCAACACCTTCCCATCAGGAAACATTCTATAGAAATGCAGCAACCATTATTTGCAATACCTAAAACACATTTTTCTGTGATTTCAAGAATGGTATGAGATATTTAGATATTATTTGGGCACAGGGTTGTCTTCAAGGACACATAAGGAAAATAAGCACTAAATATAAATGTTTTATTTTCTTGCAACTGTCCAAATTATTTTATGATCCACGTAAATGGCATCCTTTTCAAAACATGGTATTATTAAGTTGCAACCTCAAACATTCTTTCCATAAACAAATGCAGATATTTTGAATTATGCATGAATAAAATTCTAGTGAAGGCTGAACGAAAGCTGACTGACTTCTAGATAAACATGACTGGTGTGTTTCGTAACTAGCACACAGCCTTGCAAACACATTAAAAATCACGGAACATAAGAATCTGGTTGGATGAGGTCAAAGGTTTATATGGACTGTAATTCTATGTAGACTGTAATGGCCAATGAGATACAGGCTGAAAGTTCATAATTAGAACATCATGGTGAGATCTCCCTTCCACAGTTGCTTCCTGCTACTTGTACTTGCTACTGAAATATTATAGACATTGGTCATTCATTGACCAGGTTATATGCAGGACTACCTCTCCCTAAGGACACCTAACCTGTTTTACCAGATTGGATAAGTGGGTACATTTCTAGTCCCCTCACTTAAATGTTGCTATCCTATAGGACCTAGGAATTATGCCTCCGCCATAGCAGTCCCTGCTGTTTGGAAGACCCTTCCTTCTGAGGCTTGCCAGGCCCCCACCCTTTTAACCAGTGGTGGGTTGCTCCTGGTTCGATCCGGTTCTGTAGAACTGGTGGGAGGCTCCACCCACCCGCCACGATGTCATCATGTGCAGAAGCATGCGTGTGCGCGCTCCCACTGCAAACCAGTAGTAAAGGTAAGTGGAACCGACCCCTGCTTTTAACCTTCCAAAAACCACTTAAGATATGACTTCTCCCCTATGCACTGGGATTGAGTGAGATTATGAGATGTATTTGAAAGAGCCGTGGTGGCACAGTGGTTAGAATGCAGTATTGCAGGCTAACTCTGCCCACTGCCAGGAGTTCAATCCTGACAGGCTCAAGTTGACTCAGCCTTCCATCCTTCTGATGTTCTTATTTTAAAAAAATCTTGTAAGGTTTCTAAAAATAATTCTTTACTGTATTGCATATCAGTGAAATATTCACTTGTCGCAACCACAGTCCTATACTAAATTCTTACTAGTTAAAAATTCATTACATGTTTCTTCACTCTGAAAACTAAGCTGAAATGGTATCCAGGAAGCGTCCTTCCTTGAAACAGAAGCATCCTGAACCATTCAGGAAAATGCCCAGCCTTGCTATTAAGTGCAGGCTTCTTCGTAGAGATTATTATCAATATAAGGAACCTCCAGTTCAAGTCTCTGCGTACTTGGAAAGTACCTAATCTGCACAGCTTTTAATTGGGCATACATTCAAATATACTGTTTCGTGGAAGAATGTTTGAAAGATGAAATCATTTCTTAAAGTGCAGCTAGAGTATAGTCATAAAAAATGTTTGCTTAAAAGGAATTGTAAAGTGGTAATTGGAGGAAACAGGTTTTGGGATGTTATAAGTAAGAAATGCTAAAGTTCATGTGAGCCACTTTCCTGTGGTATTAAGGAAATATGAAGCTAGGTACCATTAAGTTTTACAACTGCATCTAAAGAGGCAGAAATGACACAAGGAATTCAGATAGCAACTTTATGCATGGTTATCATTAACAATTAAATATTATAGGATTTGCTTTTAGTAAATATACCCAAATTGCATAATAAAACCCTTGTATGGAAGTGTTCTCCCCTTCTCTACTTTGCATTGTGGTAAATAAGTTGCTGCAGAGAAATTTAACAGAAAGCAGAGAAAAGGTTATGCAACCAATATTTCTCCCATGTCATCTGCGCTATCATCACATTCAGAGCAGGGGTGGGTTCTACTTACCTTTACTACCAGTTCACAACAGGAGCGTGCGCCCGCGCTTGCTTCACACACGCATGCACACATGCTCCTGCACATGCGCAGATCATTCATGATGACGTCGTGGCGGGTGGGCAGAGCCTCCCGCCAGTTTTACTACCAGTTCTATAGAACCGGACCGAACCGGGGGCAACCCACCACTGATTCAGAGGAGGTGTGTATGTGTGTGTGTGGGGGGCGGGTCAGAATCTTTTATCAGTTGAGCTGATTTTGGAAACAACAATGCTGGTACATTCTGTTTTGTTAACATTTGGAACGAATTTCCCTTACTTGAAAGTCCTATAGTCTTACATTGTATTATAAGTTTCCTGTGCTCCTCCTGCGAATCTTCCATGGTGTACAGTGTTTGTTTAGTGATACTATTAAGATCCACATTCCTCCAATCTTCCAGCATTTGGAATGTAATGTCTGCACTGTGGATCACAGTTCTTGATGCCTATAATCCAATTTAAACAACTCGTTAGCTTAGAGTTTATTACCTTAGATAATATCACATTATCCCTTTATATGGTTTTGTGGTAGGGTTCTGCTAAGGTGATTTTCTCCTTGGGCTCCGGAAAAGTCATGGAGGGCAGTAAGTAATTTGAATATAACTTTTCCTAATACAAATTAGAGACCTCAGTTCTAAATTTAAGGTAATACTATACTTCTACTTCTTTTCATTTGGGGAAAAAGGCACTTTCGTCATTTGGAGAATAACCAGTTTCTTCATTATGTCCCTTAAATTCAGATTATTTGTATCTTGACCTTCATTTTTGAAATGATCACAATGATTTAAATAGTACATTCATTCACAATTTCAAAATAATTGAAACAGTATCTGAAATCCTCACAAATCTATAGTAAGTACAGCGCCCGAATAATATTTTCAATATTGGAACTAGGCACTATCTCAAAGCAGGTCAAATACTAATAAAACTGAATGAACTTTTTTCAACATTTTGACCAGTAACTGGTCACGTGTACATAGAAAGGGAGGTGGGAGTGGAACATTAGAGAGTGTTTATAGCTTAAGTCTGAGATAGGACCTTCATGCATGACAATGGACTTACTCAATAGAACTGCCCGTGTTTCCATTCAATCCATGCAAATGCTATTTGGTATTTTAACTTAGTAAGGAGGTGGATCTATGACAATTCACCATGGCCAACTTGCCACGGCCAACTCGCCCCGGCCAACTTGTGTGGCCAACTCACCGCAGGACAAGACTTACACTAATATCAAAGAAATGGTGGAATAGAATCATTAAAGAAAGGATGCAAAGGGAGGGACAAAATTAAATGTGAATGACAAAAATTAATTTTTTAAAATTTATTTTAAATAATTAAATTGAATTGTTCAATTGTTCCATGGCGAGCTGTCCTAAGGCGAGTTAGCAATCGTGAGTTGGCCGTGGCGAGTTGGCTGCAGCGAGTTGGCCCATTTCGAAGGAAGGCTGAGCGGAACTTCACTGCAACTATCCACATTGCTTTTGCTACTGCTACTAAAGATTTCAATGTAGTAGTAAATTAGAGGCTATTCAAAATATTGGAGAAAGACAATTTTACTTAAGTGCTTATAAACTGCTTACATCTCTATTTGGTCATAAAGGGAAGATAAACGATTGATGAAATGGGGGGAAACCGGGACAGCAAGATAATGCAAATATTATTTTCAACATGTTTCCTTTACAATTTGCTATAACTCTCTACTTAGATAACCGCAAGGAAAGAGGTCTATAAAATGGGAAAATATCAGAAGCAATATTGCAAACGGAATCAAAATTCTATTTAGTTCAGCATTCTGGATCTCCCAGAGGCCAGTCAGATAATTTTTAGGATTCAGTGAATGGATATAAGGGTATAAGTCCTCTTTTATATTTGCTTCCTAGCAGCTATTATTTGAGGCCTGCTCTCTGGGGTTCTAGAAATTGCACACACAGATTAGTCATCATGGATAGGCAATTCTTCCCAGAATATGGAAAATAATTTAAGTCAGCAAGCAGGTATGGCTTTTCTGTTTCATTTAACTCTGAATGCTTTTTCAAATCAGTGAACAAATCCCATTTAAATGTTTTGATTTCTCAAATGCATGCAAAGAATTTACCTGAGAACTAACATATGTGTGCTTGCTGAGGAACAAAATAAACTTATGATTTTAAAAAAAGATAAAATACCTGACATAGATGGTTTAATGATGTCTGCCTCCGAAGAATCTGAGAAAATCTTCTGGATACTGACAATGAGGGAGATCATTTATGTAGTTAGCTAGAATAATTACTTTGGCACGAAACAATACATACCATATCGTCATTCAATTCTGCTAATATATTTAACTGATATATTATATTATATTTATATTATATTATAAATATAGGATATATTTAACTGATTTTGTTTTGTAAGAACTTTTTCTTTCAACAATATTTATATTATTAGATATGTTTGTTATGTGAATATGCATATTTTAGGCATTTTAAAAAAAATAATGTTTGGGATAGAAATCATTATCCCATAAAATCAATGACCTTAAATCCCATTGAAAGTTATCTATTGATGATCAAATTAAACTAAAATGATTCTTAGTTCTGTGCTTCTGCAGAAAGTTCCATGTTGTTGATATGCTGGTTCCCATGACCAGAAGATCTCCAATAGGTCTATTCCCTAGAAGTGTCAAAGGTAACCTTAGATTATAATATCCAAAGCCTCCTCATTTCTGAAAGAATTCTATCCTAGATCTACAGACCCCATCTGGATGAAGCTGGATTAGTAATTCCACTTTCCATTCCAACAAAAATTGAAGAAGTAGATCATCCACCATAGAAACTCATCCTCTTGTTGTTAGGACTGTGCTACTGATACCAAGTGAACCAAGATTCTCTGGTTTATGATTAGGGACTGCAGTACACAAATGAGGATTTAATGTAAGTTATGAGCCACGGTGGCGCAGTGATTTAGAGTGCAGTACTGCAGGCTACTTCTACTGACTGCTGGCTGTCTGCAATTTGGCAGTTCAAATCTCACCAGGCTCAAGGTTGACTCAGCCTTCCATCCTTCCGAGGTGGGTAAAATGAGGACCCAGATTGTTGGGGGCAATATGCTGACTCTGTAAACCACTTAGAGAGGGCTGTAAAGCACTGTAAAGCGGTATATAAGTCTAAGCGCTATTGCTATTGCTATTATGTAAACATATTGGCAAGGCCATGACAGAATAAAATCCATGTTATCTATCTATCTATCTATCTATCTATCTATCTATCTATCTATCTATCTTTTTATCTATTGGTCAATGGTATGACACTTTATATCCATATTTTCTTGGGTAAATCCTAATATTGTAGATATAGTACTAGTCTTTTTACCACAGATAAATAAATAGTATGCTGAAATGTATTGCATTGCTTGTATATACAGTGCTAGCATCCAGATTCCAGAGATGTTCAAATAGCTCCCATACTATAAGACTTCACTAAAGTGAAGAGAATCCACACTGATCTCTCCAGTTGCAACTCTGCTTTGCAACTGGAATTCCAAAACATATACTAAAACAAATTCATTTTGAGGAAAGGAACCTTGGGCTATTTGAATAAATTATTAAATTACAAAATCATGTTGTTGAATGGGTCATTTTCTGAGTCTCCTCAACAAAGGTGCTTTTAACTTTTTCAACTTCGCTTACATTCTCTGTCTTAAAAAAAAAACTTGTGATGTGGAAGTTAGCAAGTATAAAAGGAGCAGGATTGATGAAATAAAGCAGGCTTTCTTAAGATATAATGTGTAAGGCAGACATCTACAAAGAAGAGTGTGGAGGTGGAATAATTTGATCGTCTCCATTTTGTAAACTTTGGCACCAGAGGCAAAGGACTCGGACTGTAGTTAGAAGAGGTGCTTGATTGCTTGCGTTTGCAGGACATCTCATGAAATTCTCATGAGAGAATTTTTAATTTGGTCCACAAAGACAGGAGACTTATTAATTGTAACTAAACTGACTTCATCACTATGTGATGATATACACTCATATTACTGAAAGAATTGACAAAATTAATTAAGAGATGTTTAGAGATTGATAAATTAGAGATGCAATGCTTATTGTTCTTTTAAACCATGTCAGAGTCATAAGACACAGATCAAGTGTTAACCATCTTTTCAGGGATGCATATAATTTTGCATACTGAGACTTTTAAAAAGTTATCAAAGTATCTCCTAAAAGTCCTAAACATTTTCAGCAATATCATGCCTAAGATCATGTGAGATTTGTGGCATTTTTACATTTGGGAGGAGTGCCAATGCTTTTTTTGTTTTGTTTAATATATATTATTTTGACATCAAAAGATACGGTGTTGCCTACTCCTTACATAAAATTAAAGAATGCCTTCAAGTTTATTCTAAGTATTTGTTTTCAAAATCTGAATAGCTTTTTTACATAAAATCTAATAGTTATTCCACGCTTTCTTCATTTATTGGAAGAATAAATTTAATTTTGTAGATTAAAAAAATAGGATTGGGCCACCCTTAAATCTACTGGTAGGTCCTGCCTTAACTTTCACATGTTCTTGAGGTAGGTGAATAAGTGTGGTTAACAGAATATGTGTTCTATAACTGCCTTTTCAGGTTTTTTAAAAAATTACTCATAGAACATAGAGTGGACTGATTTGATTAAGAATACTGCCATACCACGTATGTAGTGGGAACTGAATTCTTTACCTGATCTGTTTCCTTCATTTAAAAAAAAATCCTTCGCATTTTAAAAAAAGTTCTACTGGTGCCAGGAGTCATACTACCTTTTGATTAATATCTTTAACTTCAATGTTACAGCATCACAAACAATTTTTCTGCTTGTATTAAGAAAGTATGTAACACGTACATTCAAACTTGATATTTCGTAGGTTTTCAGGCAAGTCATGAAGAGCTACCTTTAGCCATTCATCCAGTTGTTTGGCAAACTTGCGGATTACCTGTGTTAAGCTGAAAAGAAAAGTATTATTTCAGGAACATACATTGCGAATCTTTCTTTGCAGAAGAAAGGGAAATATTTGCTATGCAACTCCCCAATTCTTAATCCTATAGTTCAAAATTGGTAAATCTTCCTATCCTGATGTATCTAGCATTAGTTCCTCAACTTTGTGAGACCTAATTTCCAGTTATTCTCATGGGATTGCATTGAGAATATATATTATTTTATAGCTACCTAATAATAAGGAATCTGAAAAGTGCACCAAAGTATACAGAAAAAGTAATCTATAGAATTCTGAAATGAATAACTATAAATTCTTGGATCTGCTGTCCCCTCCACCCCAGAACTTAAAAAAAAAATAGTTACATTCCATTATTCAAAACTATGCCAATTTTCAAAATTATAATCTATAATTGCTGCATAACATTAATTTTCAGTGGTGTTTAATGTTTAAAACTTAGAAAAATAAATGTTATTGCTGCTGCTGCTGCTACTACTACTACTACTACTACTACTACTACTACTACTACTACTACTAAAATAACTACAGTTATCTACTTTAGTTAGGAGAAATAACTGAAACAGATTGAATTAAATGATTCCATTGCTATGTAGGGAATTTCATGGTTAAGAACTGAGGACAAAAATATACTGTATTTTGTCAGCCTCCCAAATGGTACTAAAACAGGCACACAAACATACTGTACTGCTAAGGGAATTTCAGAATAGTGAAGAGGGGCACCATATACAAAAACTGTTCTCAGGACACAAGACCATCCAGAGGTCTCAGGGTTCAAGAAAGTATGTACAAGAAGATTCTAGCCCTTAAGATACTCTGGTTGCAAAATATGAAGTAGAAGTTGAACTCATCAATAACTACTAATTTAGGGAAGGCTGGAGTAGAAAACAATGTAGGAGTGAAAATCTGTAACACTCATAAAAAAGCATTATTTAAGATGGAATTTCAAGGGAGAAAACCTGATAAATCTAAAATGTCATTGACTGCACTTGTATTAAAGAGACCGCCAGAATGGTAAAATTCTGAGAATTCAAAACTGAAGCATGCAAGTATAGAATCTTTTAAATACATTGCCCACGTATTTGTCCTTCATTCCTAAATGGAGAAATTCCACCATTCCTTCCTTGACGTTTGAACTCAATGTAGCATTCTGTCAAACCCATATAGTTATATTATTCATAAATATTCACTTGGTCTTATGTGAGAAAGATTCTTCATTTAAACTGTATAAAGGGCATATGTTGCAAGCGAACTCACCCCAGTACCTTCACACAAATATCACTCTATAAAATATACTCACCTATCAGGTAATGCTTGCAAAACTGTTGGCATCAAAACTCCAGAAATAGCTTTATACAGTATTGAATCACAAACTCCAACTATATTTACTACAGTGGAAGAACCCAGTACAGGAAGCATGTGAGGTGGCATCCCTTGCCAAAAGTGCAGAAGAAAACTTTGAACCTAGACATGCAGCCAGACAGAAGAAATAAATGGAATGTGTAATTCTGTTATTATTATTTGTCTACTTTCTAGAGTGTCAGAAAGACATTTCTGATTTTCTTTTTGCAAAACATCATCAAATGATATGTTCCACCCATGGCAGTTTGCTGATGAAAAAGAAAAAAAAGGAGTTGCAAATAAAAAGCAGATTCTGCCTTCTTTCTTTCATGTCCATGTACCACTGGGTTTGAGTCTGCTCATCAGCCTTGCAAGACAGTCCAGATAAGAAGCATGCCCAGATGAACTATTTATACATTGTTGGGAGGTTATATTAACAGAATCTTGCAAGTCTGAACCTATATTTATCCCCCCTTGTATTTACAGCCCAAAAAACTAGGGAGGGTACCTTGTGAGATATTTGCCCCTTTCCATCTGCAGGCTTAGCTGCTTCTTATGTTTATGTTTATGTTTGTTTATTTATTTGTCAACAAGTACAAGGAAACAAGTAACAGTATAGACATAAACATGGACACATAAAAATTGCACGAATAAAAGGATATAAATAGGCAAAACATAGCCATAAACACATAGAATGTTTACATATAAATGGGGACAGTAGGACAGGGATGGTAGGCACACTGGTGCGCTTATGCACGCCCCCTTAGGGACATCTTAAGAAACATGAAAGGTCCACGGTAGACAGTTTAAGGTAAAAGGTATGGGGATTAGAGAGTCTAACAACAGGATCAGATAGAGTGTTCCAGACATTTACTACTCTATTGCAGAAGTCATATTTCCTACAATCAAGATTTAAGCGATTTACATTGAGTTTGAATCTATTGATAGCCCTTGTGTTATTATGGTTGAAATTAAAGTACTCATTTACAGGTAGAACATTTTGGTAAATAATCTTATCAACTAAGCATAGGTCAGAATGTAGACGGTGCAGTTCAAGGCTATCCAGACTTAAAATTTCAAGCCTGGTGGGATAGGGAATTTTATTTCGAGCAGAAGATTTGAGTACTCTTCCAGTAAAATATCTACTATGTACACCTGTTCTCCTGGCTGTGGCTCTTCCCCCATCTCCCAAGGGCATTCCCACATACCATTACACCAGGGGTGTCAAACACAAGGCCTGCGGGCTGCATCTGGCCTGCGTGGTACTTAGATCTGGCCTGCGGGGTCACCCTGGAAACAGTGAAGGATTGGCCTGCAGTGCCTCTGTCAGTGAAAACGGAGCTTGTGAGGGCCGCAGACGGCCCTCCTGGGCTCCATTTTCACTGGCAGAGGGCTGCAGGATGTTGAACTGGCCATGCCCACTCTGGCCCCCCAAGGTTAAACATAACCTTGATGCAGCCCTCAATGAAATTAAGTTTGACATCCCTGCATTACACTAATAAGGCGCTCTAACAAATTTCCATAATTTCCAAGTACATGACTGTTGACAGCAACTTGGTTCCCTTTCAGGATAACAAAAGAGATTTCATATCCAATATGGAAGCAGTCAAAATCAGGTAAGAGGCATTACACTGAGAGGTAGGAAACATCCTATATATACTGCTACTAACTTCATTGATTGCAAATATATTTAAGACCTAAATCTAAATTAACGTTACCTTGTGGTGAGATGAGCAGCAAATAAATTTGATAGATAAACAAGCAAACAAATATAACCTTGCCCTGAACAAGAGATTTGTGCTATTATATAAGGTATTGGTTATCAGCACTGAGTACATGAAAAAAAATCATATGAATAAGAATTTAAAGAGAAACAAAAAGCAGAGAACTTTAGAATATGTTCTAATGTTGAGGTTTAATAGAGCAAGTTAGCAGGAACTTTGGAAATCAATATTCTGTACTAGTTTAATTGATCTTGATGTTTTAAAAAATGGCATCCATTTTAAGACTTATTCACCAAACTAATATTGCAGAACTAATTATAAGATTTCTTTCAAATATCATTGCATATAAAACTGAGCCATAGAGATTCTCAGCCTTATGAATCATAAGTATATCTGTACAACTTTATATATAACTATAGATATGTGTATATAATAGATATGAAATACTATATGTATATGTACTTAATACATTTCCATCTCCCTTTAATTCAAGAGCTCAAGGTAATGTACAAAGCATGTCTTCCTATTTTTCCCAATTCTGTGAGGGAGCATAAACTGAGAAAGAACAACTGGCCCAAAGTCTTTCAGTAAGCTTCTATGACTGAGGGTAGACTAGAGTCTGGATAACCTCACTACAGGGAAGAGCTTATTTATTCTATTTTCCATATATATTATCTATTTTTATTTATTTATTTAGAAATTTTGTATTGCCGCCTACTCGCATATGGTGACTCCAGGCGGCTTACAAGGTCATAAAAACACAATATAAAAGAAATAAAAAGAAAAATAATAAAAAAGAAAAATAATAAAACAGTAACCCTCACCCCCACCCCCCCCCCCCACGCCAGGGATAACACACATTCATATTAGCCATTTAATGGGCTCCATCCCAGGGGTGAAATGCTCCCAGTTCAGACCGGATTATCCGATCCGGTAGCGATGGAGGTGGGTGGTTCGGAGAACCGGTAGCAAAAATTCCTGCCCCCCCCCCCATACCCAGCTGAGCCGCACAATCATCAGAGGCTTTTTTTTTTACTTTTAAAAGCATTTTTTCTACAACCTCTTTGGGCAAAAAAATGCTTTTAAAAGTAAAAAAAAAAAGCCTCTGATGATCGCACGGCTCAGCTGGGATCCTCAAAGGCTTTTAAAAGCATTTTTTCTACAACCTCTTCAGAGGTTATAGAGAAAATGCTTTTAAAAGCCTCTGAGGATCCCAGCTGAGTTGCCTGATTGGCAGAGGCTTTTTTTCTTTTAAATGCCTCTGACGATCCAAGCTGAGTTGCCTGATCATCAGAGGCCTTTTAAAAGAAAAAAAGCCTCTGCCGATCAGGCAACTCAGCTGGGATCGTCAGAGCCTTTTGAAAGCATTTTTTAAAAACCTCTTCGCTGAAGAGGTTGTAGAAAAAATGGTTTTAAAAGTTAAAAAAAAATTGGCCAGCCCACCCAGTCACATTACCCCCCCACCAAGCCACGCCCACAGAACCAGTAGTAACAAATTTTAGATTTCACCACTGCTCCATCCCGCTCTGGGTTCCCCAGGCCTGCTGGCAGAACCATGTCTTCAATGCCTTCTGAAAGAGTGTTAGAGTGAGGGGCAAGTCTAATCTCCAGGGGAATGATGTTCCAGAGAGAGGGAATCACCACAGAGAAGGCCCTTCTTCTGGATCTCACCAGATGTATCTCCTTAGGGCAGGGGTCTGCAACCTGCGGCTCTGGAGCCACATGTGGCTCTTTCATCCCTCTGCTGCGGCTCCCTGTCACTCAAAATATGCATCACAACCACCAATGTGTGACACCCGCCGGCACGTGATTTATTGAGCTTTTTGCCCCATCTTTTTTTTTCGGAGTTTCAAAATGTTTTTGTTGCATGCAGAAATAAATATTTGTTTTCTCTGTAGCAGTTCATTGATTTCATAAATGCAACACATTATAGTTTTTTTTATACATAGCATAAAGGTAAAAAAACAATACATGCAGTGTTATCTTCATTTTAATGTCAAAAGGGTTTTGTGGCTCCCGGTGTTTTCTTTTCTGTGGGAAACGGGTCCAAATGGCTCTTTGAGTGCTTAAGATTGTCTCCCCGCTCTTATCTATGTAATTTTGAGTAGCATAGAGGGTGTTTTTTTTACAGTCTTCTATCTCATGAATACTTCTGATCTCAATTGCTCATCTCCTCCATCCTTTTATATAAGCCTCTTTTTTGTGCTGCTGTTCTTCCTACTTTATTTTTCAGTACATTGCCTGATTGCACCATTTCTTCAGCTTCCTTGCCTTGAAGCAGCCTGTTCTTTAGCTTCCTTTATTCTCAGAATCTTTTTATCCAACAGAACTAACACATTCTATTATCTCCAACAGTTCCAATTCTCAGTGGAAAACACTTAGAACCTTCAGAGCAACATAGCCAGTCAATGTAAACATTTTCATTACCATCAATAAGTATAACTGAATGAAAACTATCCTATGAAAAACGTTTTACTTCATTACAAACCTCATCAAAATTGGCTCTTATTACAGTATCAAGTATCCTTTGACAGTGTGTTCTGTACATCATTATAAAAGTAGATACCTAGAGGGGAAAAAAAGAGCAATTCTTATTAATGATGTCATATTTAAAATAATAACAGTTCTAGTATAATCTATCATGACCTCCAATTCCTAACAAATTCCTAGCAGTGAAGACAGAGAAGACGGAGGTTAAAACCTCGAGGCAGCAAAAACACTAGTACCAAGCTCAGGTCTCACGAACTGTAACTATAAACCTTAATCCAGATAGAGCCTAACCTAATAACCATGTATCATGGTTTCCAGATCAAGCTGCTAAAAGGGTGTCATCTTTGCCTCAGAGAGTTATGTTTCAGAAAGCCTGCTTATCACCAAATATATGATATTCCAGCAGAAACATTCTGGACTAGAAAGTTCAAAATTCTGAATTCCCCTGAATCCTCCTCAAGTCCTATCCTTGAGAAATTGTCAAATTGTCCATCAAATTTCGGTTTAAATTTCTCAGTTAAAAGTATTTAAGGGAAGATTGGGAGCACAGTACTTGAGCCATTTGCCCAAATACCACCACCATATATTAACTGCATGTGATTCCTTCCTCAGAGTAGCTAGTTGCAGCTTGGGATTGTAATTAAGTTAGGGATATGATGCCAGGAAAAAGAATTGGTCCTCTGCCTATTTGCACTAATCTACTTTTGCTAAATTGGTGGGTTTCTGTTTTTTTTTTTTTTACTAAAGAAATATTGGAAAATTCAATCATGGATCTTTGACGTATTGTCTACTTTGAACCAATACAGAAGGTACAGCCTCTTTCATCTATATAGATTACTGGATAAATGCCATAAATCAGGGAGAAATTATTTGTTTCAAGTACAGTGAGCAATCAAGTCCTTCATAAATCAAGTCACAGTCTTCTTAAACTCAATCTTTTGAAGAGGCACTTTTTCATACTTAAGTTAGCCTTTCCTCAACCGAGAAAAAGCAGAGACCAAAGCAAGCCAATGAATATTTTACTAGCGTCACCTTCTCTTCTGGCAAGCTGGCTGGCAGATTTAGATCTTTGACATTTGGAAATTCTGGCAGCAACGTCCCAAGTTTGGATCGTGGTGAATATGCCACTGTCTGTTTGATTACTTCTTTTTTTCCTGTTTCATTGACCCAGGCTGCTCCTTTCTTAGAATACATCACGTCATAATACTGGGAGCTTTCTTTCACTGCAATGCCATAGTAATGGTACCTGAAATGTTGAATACACACTTTTTTTAAAGAGAGAGAACTTGTTCACTCAAGTATGGTTAAAAAGGAAAATTGCTAACAAAACAGACTTCATGCCAATTTGCAAGTTAATGCATGAGTGCAAATTCACCATCAGAACATAAGCGTGAGGATTCAAGTTGCTTAACAAGCTGCATTTTCCATCCACAGGAGCACCCAGGAAAGATACAAATTGGCAGAGCCTGGTGCTTTTGCCTCAGTCCTAAGCCAGATATTTGGTAGAAGCAAACTAGGGATAATCCTACACCTTCTTTTCTTCTGGGCGTAATAAATAGTATATACTATAATTTGTTATAGGGCAATTAATATTTTTTCTTCAACTCTCTATACATTCCTCTTTTAAAAACAGTCATAGAGTTGCCATTTTTACTGCATGCTCTAACTGTAGACTGGCAGTTTCCTTTAGAAGTTTGCAACTTCCTTTAGTGGTTTGCAGGCAGAGCTTTTAGCTATTCATATTACTAAGTATCTGGTGTTGGGAGAGTTGGATAAATTACAACCTAGAGGTAATTTGTGGTCTCTCAGACATATTTTTGCTGTGCCACTAAATTCATGCTGTCAATACTTGTTGGTACGCTAACAGACTTTCATAATACATTTTTTTAAAAATAAAGTAAGTCTATTAAGCCTCAAGTATTTTTTTTTCAGTATGTTTTGCATAATCTCCTCAAATCAGTCAAAGGGCTGAAGATCCCTCTGTGATGTCACCTTGTTTCTGTCACGCCCCCGTTGCCACCTTCCTTTTCTTTTAAAGTGTCGCCTCCGATATAAACACCTATGTGCCTAAGGACTGGTGATTCATTAGCTTACGAGAAGCATTGGGAAAAGATAACAGAAGCTGTGGTATTGGTCCCTCAGCATCAGCAGGTGTATGACTGCTAAACCAAAATCAGTGGCTGGCCTGGTCTATGACGTCAGCATCTGCCAGAGATGTTGCTATCTATTTAGCCAGCAGTGCTGAAATAGTAATTATCCACTGCCCCCATAAATGGCACTGAGTTCTTGCATTCATTCTTCCTATACCCCTTCACTCAAGCCCTGCTGAACTCCACATAAAAGATATTACCTTTCTTAGGAAGCTGGGATTGGATGCTATTCTATTGCACAGAACATCTATAATGGCAAGTGTATATTTCCATACTATATAACACCACTCTGATGCACAAAAGTGGTCTGGTGATAAAAGGTTAGGAACATGGCGCCTTTATATGTCATGGCACAAGAATACATCACAGAAAAGATAAATTGACATGTTGGCAATATACTTCTACACCGAGCCCAAACACCATCATTGGAGAATAAAAAATACTGCATCACACTGATGTAACAGGCAGGCATTGCGAAGGGCAAACAACCAACACATATCCCACCTGGCTAAGGGAGGAAGCAAATCATACCTGTCAAATTTTGATAAGCATTTATAATAACCTGTATTTTATAATTCATCAATATATTTGTATTTAGAAAAGATGTATTTAGTCTTATGGGTTTTTTATTTTACTGGGAATCACACATTATCCAGTCTGTTACATCTCTAGTCTGAAATATGACCATCATCTCTCCTGCAGCAGAGGTGGGTTTCAGCAGGTTCTGACCAGTTCTGAAGAACCAGTAGCAGAAATTTTGAGTAGTTCAGAGAACCGATAAATATCACCTCTGACTGGCCCCACCCCCATCTATTCTCTGCCTCCCAAGTCCCAGCTGATCGGGAGGAAATGGGGATTTTGCAGTAACCTTCCCCTGGAGTGGGGAGGGAATGGAGATTTTACAGTATCCTTCCCCTGCCACGCCCACCAAGCCATGCCCACAGAACCGGAAGTAAAAAAATTTGAATCCCACCACTGCAGGCTATAACTATCAGAATTCCAGGAAAGATGAAGAGCAGATAAGAGAAAATGGGGCATGGGACCAAGCAAATAATATAATTCCACCTTGTAGTATACACACTTGTGCACCGATTGGTAACATGGCCGCTACTCTTGGTATGTGGAATGGCTGCTGCCACTTTTCTTAAGCTCTGGAGAACAGTGAAGCAGTGGCATACAAATTGGAATTCAAAGTGAACTGGATTCAACAGGAAACAGTACTTCTGTACCTTGAATAGCTGTGTGGAAAAGATGTTGGCCCCAGGTGAAGTAACCTCTTCTATGCAATTATTAGAAGTATTTGCCATATAGACATATTGCATAAAAATCTTCGGCAATCTCATTTCTATAACACATTAACCTTCTATAACACATAAACACACATTATTGCTTACTTTGATTGGCCTCTGGTTCCTAATCTTCGTGTTGTTAACTGTGGAAACTGTTGCCTTATTATCTGTAAATTATAATTTAATAATAATTTTACGTTAAGGAACATAAGATCCTATTCCAGTCACGTATATTTAGCAATGGCTTATTTGAAGAGAAAGTAAGAAAAAAAATTAAAACAATTCATTTATAAAGAGCTGTTTTAAAATCACTTATTTTCTATCACTGGAACATATTACGGAGCACAGATTATATATGCACACTTGAAAAGAATAGATAAAATTGCCGTCATTATTATATATGGTTGTTCTTTTGTCTATAGCTGTGCTAGTTTATATATTTTAAATTTTCCTTACATATCCTTACAATAACCATCTATTAAAAAAACAACAGGCGTGGAAGATTATTGGAAGAATGTACTATTAATGTACTGCAAGAAATGCTTCTAAATTAAAGTTCTTCCACATTCTTAATACCATATACTTAAATAAAACTTCATAAACATCAAAGGAAACACTAAGAAAAAAGAAGAGGTAAGAGAGCCTTGGCATCTAATGCTCTAGCATTGATTAGCACTGATGATGCTACCCAGTGGTGGGATCCTACCAGTTTAACAACCGGTTCGCTGCACATGTGTGCGCACTTTGCCAAAAATTGAACTTCCACATTGCTGAGAGAAAGGAAAACAGCTGAGGAGCGGCAATCCACTCTGCTGCACCAATCAGCTGGGTTTCGGAAGCAGAAATTTAGGTAAGTATAACACAGGGGCGGGCGGGCGGGCCCACTTCAAAGAAAGAGAGAACTGGTTCGCTCATGGCTGAAAGTCAGAGCAAACGGTTCTCCCGAACCAGTCCAAACCGGTAGAATCCCACCACTGATGCTACCTAGTTTGAGTAATGAAATGTCTTCAAGAAAACAAGTAAGCTCAGGGAGGACCAAGGACCCCTCATTTCAATCCTTAGCTACAAATATTCTCCTTTATTGATAAAGAGAGAGAGAGCTATTTTAATAAGATGGGCCAAGTTTGAAATAAGAGTGTTCTCTGTTTCAAACTGGAAAACTGAACTTATAAATAAAACATGCCTGTTTTGTTTTTAATGTTCACTGCAGACTCCTCAGCTGGAATCATACTAAGATTTAGCTGATTAATTTTTTTAAAAAAATCGCATCCTTTCCATAAACTTCCCCTTTTTTGCTTCTTCTTATACACAGAGTCTTCCACACAGTCTAAAGCAATGTCAAAAAGGTCTGTAAAAGGATCTGAGTCCAAGTAGTATGTAAGTACCATGACGTGCCATGATTATTTATCTTCCATTTTTACCACATTTGCTTATTTATTTTGATTGATTGATTGATTGATTAATGGGGAACCAAAATGTCTTGCTTCATGAGCCTTAGAACAGGGGAAAATGTTGTACAGATTTAATTCTGAAGTAAAGGGTAGGGTGGAGTGGGGGGAAATCAGCAAACAGAAAAACACTTTTGTGGAGCTGTGAAAGTTCAGCCTAGCTATTTGATAAATGAGCAGACAGGCAGGCAGCCTCTTTCTCTGGCTCTCTCTTTTTGTGCTGATTCAATGAAGCCTACCTAAAGAACACCACATGCTGTTCCAGCTACTGATCTAACATTCCGCAACATCTCAGGCTTCCAAATTCTCTTTAATTACACATTAATCCCACCCCTCTCTCTTTCAGTTTGGGCAGACAGAGATGGGGGCACCCAGGCACTATGGGGGGAAGAAGGCATTTTCTGAGTTTTCAGAGGGGAGCAGGGTGCCTGTTGTCATTTAGAATGCACAGACAACTACTCCTCAAGTAGTTTTTTTTTTTTCAACCACCCCAAAGGCAAATAAAACATTCCCTATTGGTTTATTCTTATTGTCTCTTCAAACTTGAAAAACAATATACTTCGCTTTACCCTTAAAGAAATACAGGTCTGGAGTCCCTGTCAATGGGATGTTAAAAATCAAAACTTATATGTGTATCACACTGGGGACTGAGGATAAAGCCCGAATCCCCTTTTAGTATTATACTAGCTGTGATCCAAAGCATTGTCCCCTTACAATAGATGAGAAAATTATATTGTTACAGGGGTGGCTATTTTTATATTTAGACAGGAAAGGAGGGACCAATCTTTGAAGAACTACCAGTCTTTAGGCAGAAAAAGAGACATCCTTAACCCCAAAGCAAGACTTCTTTAGGAACAGCTGTCTTGATTCCACCAAATGATATGGTGAGATAGGCAATGGGGCTTTTAGTGGTAGCTGAGGTCAACCAGGCAGGGGTCAGGGTTTGTTATCAGTAAGTTTATATAGAGAGGACTAGAGAAGGCAAGTAGAATTTTGGTGAGTTGCATGCAACTCTTTTACCACTGACTATACCTATTATAAGGGATGCAGTGGCTCAGTGGCTAAGACGCTGAGCTTGTTGATCAGAAGGTTGGCAGTTCAGCGGTTCAAATCTGTAGCGCTGTGTAACGGAGTGAGCTCCCGTTACTTGTCCCAGCTTTTGCCAACCTAGCAGTTCAAAACCATGTAAACAATGCAAGTAGAAAAATAGGGACCACTTTTGGTGGGAAGGTAACAGCGTTCCATGCGCCTTTGGTGTTTAGTCATGCCAGCCACATGACCACGGAGACGTCTTTGGACAGCGCTGGCTCTTCAGCTTAGAAACTGAGTTGGGAACGACTAGCACATATGTGCAGGGGAACCTTTACACCCACTATACCTTTCACCACCCACATTATGTAGTTTTGGTATCATCTTTCTTGCAACGGTCTCTGAAGATATTTCATGTTTGGGCACTGTTTGCAGCTTTGTATTATTTCTTAGTCTGAGATTAATATCAGAATCAACTGTCAGACATGCACTATCTGGATGGCTTTTGAAAAATGTAATGCTTACCAAAGGAATTTGTGAAACTTGTCCAGCAAAAACTTTCCTCTCCTGGAACCTCTAAAGAAATCTTCACGTGCACAATGTTCTGTCCACAGTTTGTTTCTTCTTTGAATAACAATAAAATGTATGGGGAAAGCATAGATCCCTGCAATGAGCTTCCCCAGGACCTGAGTTGCCCCCATTCTGCTGTTGTTCAGAAGAGGAGGGAAGAACTGGCTTTTTACCCCATCCTTGGGAAGGGAGAGTTAGGCACCTTGCTTCATTTCATCTGTCCTACCATGCTTGCTAGTGTTTAATTTTTATTGATTCTATTGTAATTTCTTTGTTTGATTGTTGTGAGGTGCCCAGAGTTGTTGAGAGTTAGGGGGCATACAAGTTTAATAAAGTATTGTTATATCACATACATTATTGTATTAGATTAGATTATTGCAACGTGCTCTACATGGGGCTACCTTTGAAAAGTGTTCTGAGACTACAGTTGGTCCAGAGTGCAGCCGCGCGAGCTATCGTGGGTGCACCTAGATACACCCACATTACATCAATTCTCTGTGAGCTGCACTGGCTCCCTAGTGGTCTCCGGGCATAATTCAAGGTGTTGGTTATTACCTTTAAAGCCCTACATGGCTCAGGGCCAGGTTATCTTCAAGACTGTCTTCTACCACATAGCTCCCAGCGACCGGTAAGATCCCACAGAGTTGGTCTCCTCCGGGTCCCGTTAGCTAAACAATGCCGGCTGGCGGGCCCGCGGGGGAGGGCCTTCTCTTTGGCTGCCCCAGCTCTCTGGAACCAGTTACCTCCTGAGGTCCGGACCACCCCCACCCTATTGGCCTTCTGAAAAGCAGTGAAGACCTGACTTTTCCAGCAGGCCTGGGGCCATTGATCTTGCTGTTGCGATTTTGTAAGATCCGGCCATGAATGGTGTGAATGGGTTTTAATGTTTTAATTTTTAAATGTTTTTATAATGGTTTTTATTTAAAATGCATTGTAAGCTGCCCTGAGTCTCCGGAGAAAGGCGGCATATAAATTGAATTAATAAATAATAAATAATAAATAAATTATCTTTTAAATCCCTTAAATTAGTTGCTTTTTATACTCACCTTTCCAAAACTAGCAGCATTAACAGGCTGGGTATCATTTTTCTCACAGAAATCCAAATAGTGCATGTAGAGGGCACTTCGAGGAATGCAGACACCTTCTGCAATCTCATAATTCTCCTCCAGCCTTAAAAGTAAGGACAAAACAAAGAAGACAAATATATTGACTTCCATGCACATCCATAACTGATTGCGAGTGTGTGTGTGTGTCAGAGGTGGGTTTCAGTAGGTTCTGACCAGTTCTGAAGAACCGGTAGTGGAAATTTTGAGTAGTTCAGACAACCAGTAAATACCACCTCTGACTGGCCCTGCCCCCATCTATTCTCTGCTTCCCGAGTCCCAGCTGATCAGGAGGAAATGGGGATTTTGCAGTAACCTTCCTTTGGTGTGGGGAGGTAATGGAGATTTTACAGTATCTTTTCCCTGCCACGCCCACCAAGCCACGCCCACCAAGCCACGCCCTCAGAACCGGTAGTAAAAAAATTTGAAACCCACCACTGGTGGGTGTGGGTGTGTGGGTGTGGGTATGGGTGTGTGGACTTGTATGCATTACAAGTTCTGAACCTTTAAGACCTGGCAATTTTATTTTAATTTTGTTTTGTTTCCCTTTCCCCATAGAATCATAGAATGTAAAGCTTGGAAATTCCTTGCTGAGTGCAAGACTCCATTGCCACAATGTTTTTCACAAGATGCCCACCTTCTGTTTGATTATCTTCAGCAAACAAGAGGCTATCCCCTCCTGAGCTAGTCTGTTCCGTTGTTGAACAGGTCTTACCATTAGGAATTGCTTCCTGGTGTCCAACCAGAGTCTGATTTTTTTGTAATTTAAACTCAATATTTCTTCTGGAACATGTTTCAACAATTCTGCCCTGTCTGTTACATGGCAGCCTTTCAGATACTTGAAGAAGCTTTCATAGCTCACTCAAGTTTCTTCATGCCTTCTGATAATGCTTAATCCTTTATTTCAATCACCTTTTATTTTATTTTTTTACATTGAATGCTTTTATGATGAAAATTAGCCCCAGAATACTATAACATTATATGTTAAGCTTTCGATCTGAAAAGAGCAAATATATTCTTATGTGAATCTACTCAGAAATAAATAGCAAATAGTAGATTGCCATCCAATGAACAATTATCCAGGGTCTGAATTTGCACATGTTTAAACAGATTCGTAAAACGACACATTCTTAGCAGTTCTCTATATTCTTATAATCTGCACATGTTAAATTATAATATAATTTTAAAAATTTTGGTAAGGTATGAACCTATTCACTTTATTTGCAAATTATCATTTATGGTGTTGGTCAGAGTACGAATCCAACCAATGAGTAAAATAAATGCAATTTGATATGAATTATTATTTATTTATGCAATTATTTGTAACTCAATTCCAAAAGGATTCTGTAATATTATTTATGTTGCTAAAGTATAAAGAATTAGAAGAGGAAAAAAAGTCACCAGTCTCCTCCATACCAATATGCTCTGTTTCCTAGCAGTAACTACCAAGGTCAACAGGCCTAGCATGAAAAGTTGTGTATCGCACATAGGGGATCTGCATACCATCAAAGGCTTTCCAAGAGAGTCTTTCAATGTGCTCCTTATGTATCCTTTCTGTAAAATTTACTCCTTAATAATTCTGCTTGTGTTTCAAGGTACTAGAGGACAACAGCCTATTAGAGCCTACGTTACATACATAGTTAGCACTCTGGAATTTGTTTCCAGTCTTCTCTTTCAGAGTTTAAGGGAACGACAAAAATGCACTTCATTTGTAGTATAATTCGTCTAACTCACCCTGCTGCTTAAGCAGATAACAAAGGTAAGCCTTAATAGTGTGTCTTCTGCCTCAATCCAGAGTTTAAAACTACCTTTGACCTGAGGACCAAACACTTAAGGATGAGACTATCTTCAGAAGATCCGTTTACATTTTGTTGTTGTTAGTTGTGAAGTAGTGTCCGACCTATCTTGACCCCATGGACAATGTTCCTCCAGGCCTTCCTGTCCTCTACCATCCTCTGGAGTCCATTTAAGCTCACGCCTACTGCTTCAGTGACTCTATCCAGCCACCTCGTTCTCTGTCGTCCCGTCCTTCTTTTGCCCTCAATCTTTCCCAGCATTAGGCTCTTCTCCAGTGAGTCCTTCCTTCTCATTAGGTGGCCAAAGTATTTGAGTTTCATCTTCAGGATCTGGCCTTCTAAAGAGCAGTATAGGACTGACCGGTTTGATCCATTTACATATAGAGTCACAATTACATTCCTACGCTATTCACACCAGCTCGCTTATGTCTTCAGCCTAACCTTCTGTTATCCATTCTCCTCCCTCCCCATTCGCACTGTATTCCATCCACACAGCATCCATCCTTCATTCTGTAGTAATTCCAGCCAGGACAGAATTATAGAACTAGAAAACGAATTTAGGCCACAGAGTCCAGCCTCCTGTTCAGTGCAGGAATCCAGATTAAAACATCACCAGCAGATGGCTGTACAGACTCTGCTTGAATACATTTAACAAAAGAGAGCCCAACAACATCCTTGGTACAACAGTTCTAGGCAGTCTTGATTCTTACCTAGGTTATTATAATATGGATTGTTATCAATTAGATTATTTACCCTAGGCATAAGCTAAAAGTAGCAACTCTGATTATGCCATGCAGTACCCAGAGCTCTTCTTGCAATTCTTTGGCTGCTTGCATGTATTTTTCTAAGTATATGGAATTCTGAAGGATTACTAGAAGGATGGGTATTTCAGAAGAATCTGTGGTTCTAGTTAAAAGCTCCCCTAAACCTTATTTTAGCTGTTAACACTGTTAGGAATAACATTGATAATGTTCAATAACATTGGAAAGATTAATTATGGAAGATGCATACTTGGGTCAGTGAAGAACAAACTAGTTAGTGGAGATATGGCCTAGGGAGAATAAAGGTAAAGGTTCCCCTCTCACATATATACTAGTCATTCCAGACTCTAGGGGGGAGTGCTCATCTCTGTTTCAAAACCAAAGAGCCAGCGCTGTCCGAAGACATCTCCGTGGTCATGTGGCCGGCATGACTAAATGCCAAAGGCGCACAAACCGCTGTTTTTCTACTTGCATTTTTTACGTGCTTTCGAACTGCTAGGTTGATAGAAGCTGGGACAAGTAATGGGAGCTCACCCCATTACGTGGCACTAGGGATTCAAACCGGTGAACTGCCAACCTTTCGATCGACAAGCTCAACGTCTTAGCCACTGAGCCACCGCGTCCCTCTAGGGAGAGTATCAGGTATCTAATAGGTTGAATTAAGCTCACTACCTTGCTGTAATGTATACTACCTTATTAAACTGAGACATAAAAAAAAGCTTCAATTAACACTAATTTAGAGAAATGTGGATTTGAAAATAACAACAACAACAACAACAACAACAACAACTTAAAGTAAACTGTGAGCCAATTAGCAGAGACCTTTCTTAGAAAAAATGATTTATATGTCTTGCTATATTGTTTGGAGATTCTCCTGCCCAATACTCCATTAGCCTTACAATGATATATTTTTTTCCTTTCTACAAACTATTTCATTAAGATATTGGAGTGGTTGAATAGAATTGGTTTCTAAAGGCAGCATCTATTCTTATTTTCTGTCTACCACAATATCATTGCTGCATTTGCCCTCAAATATACAGACCCTGAACAAAACCTCTTTTCAAAGGACACAGACTGTTTGTATGCCATAGGTGCTAATTGGCACGTCAATTTCTCTGACCAGGACAGGATAGGAAGAAAGACTCTCAATTATTTCTCTTCATAATATCTAATGATTTCTCTCCATTCTTTCATGGTGAATCATTAGTCTGTGCTAAACAATCTTCCGTTATATCTGAACTTTTCTTTAATGATCAAAAACCATTTTGATCATTGTTTAGTTTTACATATTTTTGTCATTTCAATAGAGAAAACTTTGTCATATTTTGAACTCTGGACTAGCCTTTAGTGTCATAATGAACTTGGACTGTTTATTTTATCAGCAATGTCCTTAAAACATTATCTTTAAAATTATGTGCAACATTGCAGTATATTTCATTTACTAAACAAATTCATTCACATCCCATGATATACTCTTAAAAATCCAAGCAAATCAGGGTTATAAAACTGGTGTTTCATTAGAATGAAGGCTGGATTCCTGAATCAAAGACACCTATAATTTGCTGTGCTTGGGATTTAGGTTGTGTGATTACAGTCATTATGGATCATAAACTTTGGTTTATGGCCTAGCATATTGAAAGATATCACCCAATTATAGTTTATTAAATAATTTGTAGTTAAATGAACTGTGTTACATAGCCAAATGTAATTCTCCACAATCACCTGTTGTTTTGATTTTCATTTTCATTGTAATAAAATATTCATCTAAGACTTGCTGAACAGCAAAGGAGAGCTAAGATCACGAGAAGAGTTGAAAAGAGTTGAAAAAACGGGGTACAGACATTGATTGGTGGCCATATTTACAAATAGAATCTAGATATAAGGCAGATTTGACACAATTTGGATTCCAAAAAGAACCAAATGAATTAGATAAAATTTTATTGGGAACAGATGATAAATTAATAACTAAAATTTATAACTATCTATTACAACATAAATTAGAAGAGGAAGTGGTTAAAGAAAATATGATTACATGGGCAAAAAAATTTGGTTACAATATTGAATTGGATAAGTGGAAAAAATTATGGAAAGTAAATAGTAAACTAACAATGTCTGTACTCTATAAAGAAAACATCTATAAAATGCTTTACAGGTGGCACCTCTCTCCTGCGCACCTAGCAAAAATGTTCCCAAATACCTCTCCAGATTGTTGGAAGTGTAAATCGCAAAAAGGAACATATTATCATAAATAATCCTTAAATTTATGGAATGTGCAGAAATGGACAAACTTATGAAAGAGATACAAGAAAAAGAAGAAACCGATTATTATTTAATATAGCAAAAATGGTATGATTGGCTGGAGAAAAGAAATAAAAATAGGAACACAAAAAAGGAAATGGAACATTTAGATAAAAAGTGAGTACCAATTAAGGAAAAGAGTAAATTAAACAGGGAATTTAAGATATTATACAAGTAAATGTGTAAAAATATATATAGAAGAATATAATTTACCGATGTGATTATTCCAAATACAAGTCATAAGACTTGATGTATGTTTATCAGTTGTATGTATTGTACTGTCGTATTTGTGTTTGTTTGTTTTTTCTTTTTAATTGAAATATTTTTTTTTAAAAAAATACTCATCTATCATTCAGAGGGCACAATACAGAGAGCTGTAGAATTTAATGGATGCTATGACAATTTGATCTGAATTCAAAAAGAATGCATCTAAAGAATGCATTCAGCCACTGCATACTGTATTTCATTGTAGTTCAACATTATCCCAATTCCATAAATAGCTGTAATATCTAAAAGAAGTACTATATAGTCTTTGAAGTGTTAATTAGTACACCATAATCTTTCCCATCTATTTTCTTTTAGATTGCTGAAGTATCACACCTCTTCCCCATACTAACAAAACCAAAAGGAATAGAATGTAAGAAGAAAAGTTAAAATGCTGAAGGAAATAGCACACGGCATTTGGGGTCAGGTGTCTATCAATGCTCTGATCCAAGCAGGGGTGAAATCCAGCAGGTTCTAACAGGTTCTGGAGAATCAGTAGCGGAAATTTTGAGTAGTTTGGAGAACCGGCAAATACCACCTCTGGCTGGTCCCAGAGTGGGGTGGGAATGGAGATTTTGAAATATCCTTCCCCCAGGAGTGGGGAGGGATGGGGATTTTGCAGTATCCTTCCCCTGGAGTGGGGTGGGAATGGAGATTTTGAAATATCCTTCTCCTGCCACACCCAGCAAGCCACACCCACAGAACCAGTAGGGAAAAATTTTGGATTTCACCCCTGGATCCAAGGATATCCTCAAGGGTATGTTCAGAAAAGTCAAATTGGTATCCATGGCAGCGTGATTGAACCTAAACCTATTTTTTTTTATGTGCATCACATATTAAAATCATGTGGAGTCTCAACTGTACTACCTTGACTTTTTTTTAACCATAGCCTGTGGTAAGAGGTTGGAACTTAGAATAAATAAAATAATTCCAAAATTCATGGGTATCCTTAGGCTGTCGGGATCTTCCATCTTTCATTTTGGATGGGGTTGCATTTTCCTATTCAAGATTGGTGCACAACTGGAGGGGTCATCTGGGATACATAGCTTCTACTGGAAGAGCAGGTACCAACTATGGCCAAGAGGAACTTGCTCAAGTACATTTAGCGTGCCCTTTCTTGGACCAAAGGCACATCAGACAGTCACTCATAGCCTCATAAATGGATTGCAACAATGTGCTGCTCTTGAAAACAATTCAGAAACTACAACTGTAACAGAATGCTCTGAAAGTGCTTTTTCAAGGGGCAACTGGACTTTCTGGGGTTTTTTTGAAGATGTTTCTCAGAGATGTTTGAAGCTCTCAGACAGCTGAAGAAGCTTCTTGGATGAGTAGCAAAACATCTTCAGAGAAAAACCAGAAAATCCAGTTGCCTCTTGAAAAAGCACTTTTGGACAACCATGACCTGGATGACTGAGACTCTCCAGACCTTTGTTCCAGAATGCAGTATATTGGATAATTTTAGGTATGCTTTGTTGTGTCTATGAGACCCCAGCTGCACCAGTAAAAGTTCCAGGTGCAATTCAAAGTGCTATTTATCATTTATAAAGTCCTTCATGGCAAAAGGCCTGGATTATTTGAAGGGCTGCTTGTTTCTAGCTGCTTCTGTCCACCTGGTTTGAATGGGTATTTTCCAGCTCCCAACACTTAACCAGTATCATCTTCCGGAGCCTAGGAAGTATGACTATTGCAGCCCTTGCAATGTGGAATGATATCCTCACAGAGATCTGGTTTCTGGGGCCATCATAGATCTCCTTGTGTGTGTGTTTATGCCTTAGGTAAAGGTAAAGGCTCCCCTCACACATATGTGCTAGTTGTTCCAGACTCTAGGGGGCGATGCTCATCTCCGTTTCAAAGCCGAAGAGCCAGTGCTGTCCAAAGACACCTCCGTGGTCATGTGGCCGGCATGACTAAATGCCAAAAGTGCACGGAACGCTACCTTCCCACCAAAGGTAGTCCCTATTTTTCTACTTGCATTTTTTATGTGCTTTCGAACTGCTAGGTTGGCAGAAGCTGGGACAAATAACGGAAGCTCACCCCGTTACACAGCACTAGGGATTCGAACCACTGAACTGCCGACCTTTCGATCGACAAGCTCAGCATCTTAGCCACTGAGCCACCACGTCCCTGTTGTTTATGCCTTAAAATACCCTAATTATAAGCTACCCAGTGTTGTTGGGAGTCAGGCAGCCTATAAATTATATGTATGCATGTATATCTATCTCCCTATAATGTTCCAAATACCTATGACAATATTTACTATGACAACAAACCTCCAAGATTCTTAACATTAATACCTACATAACTGGTTTCAAGCCAACACAGATCAATTTAAGAAATTCCAGGTTCTGTGTCAGACACAGAGCACTAAAAGTGCCTGACTCACTTGCTGTGGAATAATCAATGAATCCATGGACAAAATGCAGATGATTTAAGAGAACATAATGCATCAAATTCATGGTAGCCAATTCAAAACTCATATATAACTAATGAATATGTGAAATAAAAAAAAAAACAGATGCACAGAAATACATTTTCCCATGCTTGCAGCCATCTCCTCACTTCTTTCTCCTTGGTTTTCTCTAAATTCTCCTTTCTATTGGCTATCCTCTCCCCACCAACACATACTCATCCCCTGCAGCTTCCATTCTCACTCAGCTGGTTAGGTTGGGCTCCATCATCTCTGCTCAGCCTTGATTGCATGGGCCAAACAACCTGAAATGAGATGCAGAGGATGTAGCTCACTCAGGTTGCTGCCACCACAATTCATTGGTCTTCCAAAGTCTTGGCCAGAGATGAAGCTAGAGCTAACATCAGCTAGGTAAATGCACCATGCTATGCTGTAGTTTGCTAAAATAATAATCTTTTGCCAGATGCCACAATTAGACTGAGTTCACACATCCCACTAAGCTCAAACAAGCAATTTATTTTATGAATAAGCATGATATATGGACCAAATCAAATTATGCTAGCTAGCCCAAACATAGTTTAGACCAAAGGTCTTCAAACTTGGCAAGTTTAAGACTTGTGGACTTCAACTCCCAGAATTCCTGAGCTAACATGAATGGAGGAGGAATTCTGGGAGTTGAAGTCGACAAGTCTTAAAGCTGTCAAGTTTGAAGACCCCTGGTTTAGACTGACTGGCACACTGCCATAGCTACTTTGCCTCCTCTTGATCCCTTTTCAAATACTGTTCATGCCACTCCAGGCTCCCCCTGACTGGAGCAATTGTCACATTGCTTAAAAGAGGAAAAGAGATAAAATGCTGCTGGCATATTAGGAGGCAGAATGGTGTGTCATTCCTTCCCTAATTATTGATGCCTCTAGTTCACAGTCATTGAATTGTAAGAATTTACAAGCTGAAGTTTTGCTGCTTAGAATCAAATGCAGACAAACAAAAGGGGTGATGGTTATTCTCAACATATTGGTACTCTGGAGAACATGAAGTTCTTTTGCAGTGAGCCCAGACAAGCAGGGGCAGATATGGTTGCAAGGACAAACAAGCTGTAAGGGCAGCTGTGCTACTAAAGATGGCGGCTTGAATGATAGTAAATGGCTTATTGCCTCTCTTGGGCAATTGGGACATGGTAGCAAATAATGGCTCCGTTCCAACAAGCTGAATATCCTGGGAATTTTGGGATGTATTAACCTCTATGATTAAGGATGCTACCATTATTGGCTTGTTTCCTCCTGAGAGAAGAGCTTTATGAGATAATTAGCTGTGGCAATTTGGCTGAAACGAGCCCATCAAATTATAGGAAAGACTAAGCAATTGCCTTCTGAGGAGGCATGGAGTAATCCGAAGTATTAGTTGCTGGACAAGAACAACAGTAACAAAAAATGAATTGCTGTTTAAATATTTGGGAAAGATTAACCATTTGCTGGCACAGTTTAGGGTAGCATAAGTTCAGAAAATATGAAGATGTTCAACTAATCAGTTTCCAGAGGCCCTTCTCTATCTATGTCCCTATGTTTCCAGTGATTAGATGGGTAACTAGAAGAGATATAACTGAACACTTTTAGATGCCTACATTTATTGATATTTTATACTGTTTTTGCTAGAGCTAACTAGAGCTATTTGCCTTTTGAAATTCTAGCAAAGCACAGATCCTTTAAACATATTTTTTTTAAAAAAAGATATTAATCCTCAGACATTGAATTCTGAGCACAGAACAATGCTTAATGAGCATAACCTAGAATGTTGATGTAGTCAGTAATCCAGTGTCAAAATTATTTCTACGTGTTTATCATACTCTTGAATATTTCTAGTTTGCCTGAAAGTAGTTGCTTGAGAATAAATCTGGTTTTTTTCCCAAGAAACAGATCTTACCATTGCAGAGTTGCTGGGGTAGAGTGTGGTTTGGATGCTCTATTATTCTCTTTCTCCTCATCTGTTGAGAAAAAACAGTTAGGGGAGATTCTTTCAGCTGAGGTACTTGACGGACATGAGAAAATTCCACTGTTGGGAATATTCTCAAATTCCCCCAGAAACAAGCTTGAAATAGCCACAAATACTTGAAGATTACGAGATTCAGAATGATTGTTTATGTAAATGCCAGGCTGTACAATCTGATGCCTGTGGGCACCAGTGTTCCCATAAATACCTTCTTTGGAACCTAAAGGAAATAAATGTTAACATCTCATCTACCCTTCCACAACCTTTCACCGTATTGTGTCATTAATCTACCTTCCCTGTTTAGAGGCTCGAACTTAGAGAAAAGGTATATCAGGGCTTCCTACAAATAGGAAAATGCACCTCTTACAAGCTCGATGGATATGTTGCACCTTTCTTATTCTCTTTATTGCAGTTGTGACTATTTAAAGCCAAATATTGTTTGAAAATATCATTAGAGTCTGAATGTTATATTATACAGTAGACCAGTCATTACAATAGACATTTCCTTCCACCTTCCTTCTCTTCTCTTGCTGCCCCAGAACCAATTCCAACAATGTCAGGGATTTTAATGTTGTCAGCAACAAATGTTAACACATTGTTAGAAACAATGGAAGAAATTGGGGAAGAAAAAGTTGCTCCTTTTAAAGAATATTTCTAAACATTTCTTTGTTCTTAAGAATGGGCAGCCATTCCTACATCCAGTGTTGAGGTTCTCATTAAAACTTGATCTAGTAAGCCAGACAAGCCCTTTTCTGCTAGGGGTGTCATTGTGGAGAGCACATGCAGGATAGCATTGTTCCAATTCATTTTTCAGAGCTGTTGTAATGATGCTATTCTTGGGAACAAGGGGTTTTTGTCAGATTTTCTTTGCCCAGGAAGAAAACATAATTATGACAATGTTATCAAGTTTTATGATTGTCTATGATTGTCTACTATATAAACCAGGGGTGTCAAACTCAATTTCATTGAGGGCTGCATCAGGACTATGATTGACCTCGGGAGGCCAGCCAGGCGTGGTTGACTGGGGTGGGTGTGGCCAACTGAGTGGGCATGGCCAGCTTGATGCCACTCCTCAAACTGCTGGCATGTTTCCTCTTCGCATTAGGTAGACCGGGCTGAAGCCATGCTGGCCTGATTTTTCCCCTTCGCACTGGGTAGACCAGGCCGAAGCTACACTGACCCGATCTTCGCATTGGGTAGACCAGGACAACCCCGCAGTCTGGATCCGACCACATCACGGGCCAGATCTGACCCGTGGGCCTTGAGTTTGACACCTCTGAATAAACAGTTGGACAATGAGGAATATAATCAAGCAGAGGCTGAATGACAGACCAACCGCCTGATTCTGTGGGTTCAACTCTTTTTTAGAAGATGAAGAGTGAGGCAAGCAGCCCTAGCTGGCAAAAAGTGTGTGGGTCACGTGGACTGGTCTGGGGAAGTATTAGTTCCCCTCCTGAGACTTACCAATTCAAAGTATGCATCTTGATGAACAATAAGTAGTCCTTCCTCAGGTCAGTTCTATGGTGAGAGACATGGCACTGAAGTAGAACAATGCTGTTACCTGGTACAGATTGATGTATCTGATCCCCTTCCCTCATGGGTGGTTTTTCTTTCCCATTCACAGACATTGAGGAGACAAGAGTAGTCTCAACTGCTTGAGGCTTTCTCATTAATCTCTTTCAAATTGGAATTATCCAGGTTCAAATCTTTACAGAGGCCAGTGCCTACAACATGGCTCCTTGAGCAAGGATTGCTATGAAGCCAGTGATATCACAAAGGCTAGGAGATTGACATCAGGTTAACACAGGGGTGTCAAACTCACGTCGTCATGGCAGCATCACATGATGTATCAGGACATTTTTTTTCCCTTCATTAAACTGGGCGGGGGCGGAGCCAGCACGTGACACATCCCGGCTGCGGGCCACGAATTTGACACTCGTGGGTTAACAGATATGAGTTAAAGTGCACTGAATTACCTCATAGGTAGTGTTGACATCACCTAGGTTAGCCAGTAAATTGAGCCTATTGGCTATTTATGATCAGTGTGAAACAAACAAACAAATCATGAGAAAATAATTAAGTCAAACTACCATACATGCTTGACAGCTAAATCTGCCTAATCGCTTTATAAATTCATTTAAGCTTTTGCTATTATCATCTTATTCACAGGGGTAAGACATTTAAGTTACTATACTACTGCTACTATTATTATATTTTAATGTCTACATTTTGAAGCCCCAATCAAAGAAGCTTTTTTGCATGGGAAAAATAATACATGGATTTAGCTAAACTAATTTCACATGCCCTACTTGCTGCCTTATATATTAATGAGTCACTATAAAGAGAATGCACCAAAACATATCATTTTCAAATGACCTAAAATATAATTTTTATGGAGTATACCTATTCAGCAATGAATAATAATTGCTCTTGGGAAATTCTGTCTTGATTTGTTACATTTTGTCCTGTAATTTAGCCTAAATTCCATATCTGTAAGGCTACAGTCCTACATATACAGCCTGGGGGAGGGGGGGTCTATCCAGATGAACTCAGCTGGATTTGGTTCTCAGTAAATATGCACAGTATTGACACTGAACAAATCCCCAAATGAAAGCAAACTTGTTCTTCATTGCATATTGCTGTTTGGGAAATTCATACTCATCATTATAGTAGAGAAGTTAAAAGGGAAAATTGTTATGTTATTTCCGCAACTCCATATTTTAAAATACTAATCAACGTGGTTAAGGTTTTTTACGTTTATATCCTGCCCACTAAAAATTTCATACTTAATATAGTAGCAAAATAACTAAGAAAATAAATTATACATTGAGATAATTGTTATTACAGTTTTGTACTATAATTTGTTTTTTTTTCAGAACAGGAAAAGTGTTCATTAATATCTTAAGGTGCAATCCTGAGCTGGAATTATGTAGGCTGATGGGCATCCTTGATGGAATCCCAGATGCCCCCACATACACAGAATCTTCAGCAGAACTCCCTAGATAAAAGCTACTTTGAGGAATCAGGTGTAAGTTGTGGGTTGACTACAGTCCCAAGTCAAGGATGCCAAAACTCAAGATGCCAGAACTAGGGGCAGGTTCCAAATCCCGTTGCTACCAGTTTGCTCATGGGCCCACGCATGCTCGCACGCCTGCAGCACTTCTGCATGTGCACAGAAGCGTCCGGGCAGGGGGGTGGAGCCTCCTGCCACCGCTACCGGTTCACCCACCACTGGCCAGAATGCATGACACAAAGGGCTATTGCTCTCTGAATTCATTCTACAGCCATTTAGATCATACTAGAAGAACTGTGGAAAAAGTAGGGAAAGGATTCTGTAAAGGATTCCCCCCCCCCAAAAAAGATTATTGTCTGAGCCTGTGATGGAATTTAAGCATCTGTCCAGCCCTACTTCTACAGCACAGGTGTCAAACTCAATTTCATTGAGGGCCGCATCAGGGTTATGTTTGACCTCGGTGTATGTGTGTGTGTGTGGCCAGGGGTCATGGCCAGCTTGATGTCACTTGTGTTGGGGCACTCATATGGTGGCCTAAGTGCTCTGCCAGTGAAAATGGGCTCCCGAGCTCAGTTTTCGGCTGTGACGGCCTCCTGCAACTCTCTGCCAGTGAAAACGGAGCTCAGGAGAGCCGCACATGGCCCTCCTGAGCTCCATTTTCACTGGCAGAGGCACCATGGGCCAGTCCTTCGCTGTTTCTAGAGTGGCCCCGCAGAGCAGATCTAAACACCTCTGGAGCGGATCTGGCACCTCTGTTTTAGACTTTTGATACCTCTGTTTTAGACTTTTGATGAATAAGCTCTATTACATCCCAGTAATAAAGAGCACCAGGATAGGACACCCTACACAAGTAAATAAGGAAAGGGAGAAGAGCATGCTTTTCTCCCATGATTGTCTCTCTCCCATTGCCATATTTGAACACTCTTTCTTTAGCCATATTGCTCTAATACGCTCCTTCCCATTCCAATTATACCTCCCCAAGACAAGTAACAATATAAACCAGGCATCCCCCATTTGTTCCTGAAGCATTATGCTTCGTAAGGAAATGTTCACTTTTGCCATAATCATACCCACTGCATGCACAAGTAGATCAATATGCTTTGCACTGCAGCCTCCAAAACAAAGTTGTTAACAGAATCACAACTATCAGATTGTCCTTGTTCTCCACACAAAAAAAGGAAATAGAGGCCCACCACTGGTATTCTGGTAGAGCTCTAAAATGTCACCCTGCCTCTTCCATTACACTCCCTCACAAGCTTCTAACTTACCTATGTTGGCCAGGTTGCTTGAGACCACTCCTTTCAGGGTATTCCATATGGAAGGAGACCGACCCCCCTCCCCAGGGAATCTCCTCTTAAGCAGCCAGCCTTTATGCTGGTCATTAGCAAAGAGTTTCAAGAAAACAATGAAATTATTTAAAATCTGAACTGGAGCCAACATTGGAATGGTTGTGGAAGGTGGTGAGTTGAGAATGAACTGTTGAGTTGTATATGATCAGAACATTCAATAAGGAATTCTCTTTATAGCATTCCTTCTCAGGAAGATGAACAATTCCTTTGGCAATTAATTTCTTTTTGACTGGTAGAATGGAAAAGAACAAAATTCTTTATTAGCCAAGTGTGATTGGACACACAAGGAATTTGGTGCATACACTCTCAGTGTACATAAAAGAAAAGATACATTCGTCAAGAATCATAAGGTACAACACTTAATGATAGTCATAGGGAACAAATAAGCAATCAAATCATATTAGGAAACAGTCAATATAAATCGTAAGGATACCAGCAACAAGGTTATAGTCATACAGTCATAAGTGGGAGGAGATAGGTGATAGGAACCATGAGAAGATTAATAGTAATGCAGACTTAATAACTAGTTTGACAATGTTGAGGGAATTATTTGTTTAGCAGAGTGATGGCGTTCAGGAAAAAACTGTTTTTGTGTCTAGTTCTGGTGTGCAGTGCTCTATAGCATCGTTTTGAGGGTAGGAGTTGAAACAGTTTATGTCCAGGATGTGAGGGGTCTGTAAATATTTTCACAGCCCTGTTTTTGACTCGTGCAGTATACAGGTCCTCAATGGAAGGCAGGTTGATAGTGAAGAACCTTCATTCAAGCATCCCAATGGGCATTGTTTTGGTCCCAGAAGGGAGATTCAGGCTTCATCTATGAAGCTAGTATCTTAATGGCTTATCTTTAGGCCCTTCTGCCCATATATACTCAGCTGTCCAATATTATAAATACAAAACACTGTTTTTTCTGGCTGATGCATTTGTCATCTAACTCTAACCTTTTCCCTGCTTGAAGATGTGGATGGGTGCTCCCTGACTTTCCTAGATCTATACAGACATTATAAAGTTCAAGTCTTTTTTAACAAATGGGAATATATATATTTCTATAAAAAATAAAACATACTTACTTTCATCATTAGAAACATTGGCCAGAGATGTCTGGCTGGAATAACGTTTGTTTTCACTTTCACTGAGACATCTTTCAATCCAACTCTCTGCAAAACATTTTTTTTAAAAAAGGTATTAGAAAATTTTTCAACATATGTGTGTAAGAGATTCAGAAAAGAAACCAGATTCATATTACACTCTACTTAAGCAAAAAAAAAAAAATGTTCTGAGCCACAGCTTCTTTGGTACAGATTGAAAAATAAAACTAAGAACATCACAAACATGTGATGTTCATGTAAAGATGTCAGATAAAGTTATATCAAATGTTTTTTTCCATTCTGGGGAAAAAGTAGAATATATGTGCCCTACACTAAAAGATACTATGAACCAAGACATTCTAAGATCAATGTAAAATGTAGCTGGACTGCCTCTGTATCATATTTATCTCATTTTCCAAAGGATAATAGCAGAGTCATTCCAAAACATTTGGCTTTGTAAGGCTGTTTTCTGCTCTGCAAGACAAAGTTCATGTATTCACCCAAGGCAAAAAAAAAAAAAAAAAGCATAAGTTTTTCTTCTTCTAGCTTTTACGGAAAAAAAGAAACACACAAAACAATATGTTACTCTTTATTAATACTCATTACCAGCTGTCTATGGCAGTTGTCCAAATGTTAAAACTAGCTATATGGTTTGGCATTTGTATACAGATTCCATGGATACTCGGTAAAATATTTGTAGTTCTGTCTATATAAATGGTTCATTACTAGCTATAATTTGACAGAAGAACGGAACACTCTGTAAACAGCATTTAATTCAAAACATAAGACACAAAATTTTTCAAGTGTTGTTTTCGTCACATGATAACATCTCTTATATAACATCTATTCATTTGCATATCTTCATTTGCATATCTTCACATACTGAAAACCAAATTTCTGAAATCAGAATTTCTTTGAGCAATTTCTAACTCTGAGGATGTTGTTTGAGACCATTTACTTATTATTCTTATTATTCTTGCATGCTACCATTCCTCTAAGAAGCTCAAGAGAGTGAATGACCATTTCAAATATGTCAGATTTTTATCCTGACTTATCTAGGAGCATTAGACAGGATGCATAATGCTTCTTCCTCTCTTTTTCTCCCATACAACTGTATTAGGTAGGATAATTATTTTATTGTTTTAAAAAGCAGATATTATTTAAAGGAAGGAAGCTGCTTCTACCTTACTACAACAAAAGACTTCAGAAAAATCCTTCAGAAGTCTATGGATGGAGATTCTTGTGTATGCTGGGACTCCATGCATATCCTTCTGTATATTACGCTCAGGGAAGCAGTAGCAATGACAGTTAGTGCTTTTCCCTCTCCTGCCTATTGTGCTACATAAAGTAAGCTGTCATATTTAATGTCAATTTATAGGGCTTCTCATTAAAATCTCAAAATTGTGTCTGTCTGTCTGTCTGTCTGTCTGTCTGTCTCCCTTCCTTCCTTCCTTTCTTTCCTTCCTTCCTTCTTTCCTTTTGGAAATTTGAATTTGTATGTTTGTATGTGTTACAAAAAAAATGCTTTGTTTGAGAATGGTTTGAATATGTAAATATAACAGGACACCAAGTATGTTAGTCAATATGATAGCCATAACTAGTTTCGCAGTGAGCTGTCCAGGGTCCTGAGTATCTATGACCTTACCTTGTAGAGTTCCTGCACAGTTTGCCCCTATGTATGGAATGGGATGTAGCAAATCTATGCACCATTGTTAGCTCACTGACATAACTGAGATCGATTCCCAGATAAATATGTGAAAGAGCACAGTACAATTGATTCATTTAACACTTGCAATGTATTAATTAGCCTGGATAATGTAAATAATGTAACCTCTGTCCAATTTTGTTATCACAACCAACCATACTATCTCAATATGATGCCTATTTATTTATTTATTTATTTATTTATTTATTTATTTATTTATTTACTTGGTTTATACACTGGCCCAACATATGTAGCATAATCCTGGGTAGCTCAGAAGAACAATAAAGCTGTTAAAAGTTTTTTTTTTAAAGCAACAGATCCCAACATATCCAAAATAAAGTTTAGAACTTTATTATGTGAATGAATTGCTTTGCCTATTACCTTAAAAGTATATAAATATATATTTGTTTTAAAAAATTCCAATTATGTTCACTGAATCATAGCAAGTTATTTCTCGCAATCCAAATAATCAAAATATTGAGATTTAATGTATGCAAACAGGTTGCTACTAACCGACCTTTTTGCTAGAAATACAGCCACTTTGGAAGGCAAAGCTTTATATGAAACTGATCAAGGGTAATCAGCTTCTATGTCTTTCCTTTGCCACACTGCCTAGTAAAGCTATCCATTTGCCTTTATTATCCCTAAATTTTTGCTGTTTCTCACAGAAATGTCTGCAGCGATGGTCAAACAGGGAATGATGAAAGCAGCATTGTGCCATCAATATTCAAGCTCTGATCCTTTTGTACAGGTATCAACGTGGTGGACACACAAATGAAAAGTATGTAGCTTGCATCATGACAACGGTATAGTTTTCCTTATTTTGATTAATGTATCAGAGCCTGCGGGATATTGTGACTTTTAGTCGATTGAAAGGCCAAAATTAAATGCTGAACCTATTGCTGTTTGTTATGCTCTTTGAGGTGTGAAATATTCATAGCTGAAATGAACAAAAGTGCTTCTAATCCTAGCATGGCCATCCTTGCTGCACTTGGTGGCTTCTTTTATGTTTCTGTGCCTTTTCTTGGGTTTCCATGGGAGCCACATTGGATAAGGAAAGTATGCATTTTCGCTAAGAGATGAGTTGTTAAGAAGGTGACAACAGGATGGCAGCACGTGGTTGCAGCTTGTCACCTCCTCTATCAGACCACCTCGACTCAAATACATGTTTTCCTGAGCTACTATGAGAATTCAGGAAATCTAAAATTTCTTCACAGAGCTGCGGAAATATGTAGCGGTCAGCCTTGTAAGGTCCAGACAAAAAACACATCCAGGAGTCCTAGCTTCATCTTTATGGTAAGGTTATATTACCAAAATCTTACAACTCTGAAAGTACTTCTCTCCCTGGTATCCCAAGAATCTGGGGAGGGACCCTTTAGTAATGTTTGCCACATCCCCATTTCTTTTGGGGTCTCAGCTGCCTCTTATCTGACTTTTCCCTAGTCTGCAAGTCCCTAGTTGTGGTCCGCCAGCAGCCTGTGGAGGTGGCAGCAGAGTCGGACAGTGAAGAGGCTGGGTTGGAACATGGGCCAGTCCTGGAGTCTGGGTAAGGCTTGGATGAGGGCTCTGCATCCAAGCCACAGGCAGAGAAAGGGCCATCTGGGAGGTACATGCTGCCTCCGGAGCCTCCAGAGTCAGACCTCAGCGAGGCAGAGGAACAGGGGGAGCCTGTTCCCGGTGCGCGCATACCCAGGGCTGCCAGAAGGCAAGAACAGTTAAAACAAAAGGGACGACTCAGGAGTAGAACTTGGAGATGATTGGTCCCTCCCATAAGACTTAAAAGATGAGCAAAGGGACGTGGGACTTTGCAGGAAGCAACATTGTTAATTCTGTGCAGTTTAAAGTCTAAAGCTCTGTTTGATTCTGGACTCTGTGTGGCTTTGCCAATTAGGTCTTTGGCAGCGTGTCAAGGGAGATAAAGGTGGGTGATTATCAGCCTTATCCTGAAGGACTCTTTACAACTATTTGGGACTCATCTGTGAATGAACAGAATTCACAGCTGTTAAAATAAAACAAGTTTTTGGGACTACTCATGTGTTTTACTGACTCAGGAAGCCTAGGTCAAAACACTCTTCCTCCTATCTCCCAAGCTCATTCTCACATACCACTTTGCCTACACCAAGCTCCATTTCTCAGTTTGGATCCAAGCTTTGCCCACTTCTATTTAGTACCATTTACTATTGTTCAACAACAATAAAAAGAAGTAAAAACAATCATCTATTAGTAAATGAACAAACAACAGCAAGCCTGAATAAAAATAACAAAACATAAAAAAATAAAAAGTTCATTTTAAAACATGTATTTAATTACATTATTTAATTGAGATCTCATCCAATTCCCCAAAGATTTAGGTAGGTCATATAAAATGTAATAAAATAATAAAGTAGTTAGTTTGAATCATCTAATGAAATAAAGACAGTGTTATGTAATAGGCACCACTAGCCCCAAGACTCAATGAAGCAACATCTTGATTGCTCTTCTCAATTCTGAAAGAATTACTTGACAGTGAGATGGGCAGCATGTAAATTTAATAAACAAACAAACAAACAAACAGAGCGCCATCTAGACCTTGGGTGACAGACTATTACAGAATGAAATATCATTTCAAATCTAACATTTCAAAGAAAGAGATCTGAAGAATTGCTTCATGGTTAGACCACACAGAGCAGGCAAGCCCTGTTTGGAGAAGACATTCCCACAGATAACATGGATTCAAGCCACATGAATCAAAACCAACACTTTGAATTGTACTTGAAAACATATGGGCAAGCAGCACAGCATCTGCAAAAAAAAAAGGTCTAACTTTTAAAAAATATATAATTTTATTAAAAACAGGAGGAAAAACAGATAATAACCAGACCTGGTTGGCAATGGCTAAGAAGAGGGAAATTGAAGAAAGAGACAGAGAGGCTAATTTTGGCAAAACCAAGCCTAAGAACAAATGCATACAAAGCCAAAGTTGAGAAGCAGCAACAGATAACCTCTGAAAAAAAGCTGAAGAAACAGTCACCTGCTTAGCTGCTGCAAGAAGATTACACAGACTGTCTACAAACAATGGCATGACAAAGTAACAACAGTGGTGCATTGGAAAATTTGCAAGCAAAAACTGTTGGGCCCATAAAATGAAGAAGCTAAAGTGCTCTGGCATTTTAGAATTCAAACCGACAGACACCTATCACATAACACCCCAGACTTAACAATTGTCGATAAGAAAGACAAAAAACTCAGGATACTGGACATGGCAGTACCTGGAGACAGGAGGCTAGAAGAGAAAGAACTGGAGAAGATAACAAACTACAAAGGCCTGCAAATACAAATAGAATGACTGTGGCAAAAGATACAAAGGTATTACCAATAGTAGTAAGTGCCTTAGGTGCAATCCCAAAACAACTGGAACATGAATGCCATCAGCACTGACAAAATTATCATCAGCCAATTGCAAAGAGCAGCTTTATTTGTAACTGCTTACATCCTGCAACAATATCTATAGCACCATTGTACCTCTACATCTGCCTATCCCAGGTCCTTGGGAAGGACTCAATAGGCGGACAAAAATGCCAAATCCAGTCTAAATATCTGACTAACTCAGCAATGAACCTAATCTTTAAAGTCTAGTACTTTTAGTCCCGATGCCAGCAAAAGTCCATTAGGAGTTATCAGATGTATCTATTTTAACCTTGATAAAATAAACCAACTTTATATTCCTTCCTTTTACTTTCAGCAATCTTGATTCTTAGTCCTTTCAAATAATGTCCTAGAACTTTATTTCTTTACACTTTTCTTTGTCCCTTCTGGCAAAATTCTTCAAAGTTTTAACTTGTATATTGAATATAGGAAAATTATCCTATAGCACTATCTTGGTTTATTTTCCTTAATTATTAAGACATCAGCCAGTTTCTTTTGTATGTTCAGTGTAGTGTCTTTTCCATGTCTTTCTTGTAGCCTGGCATTTTTAAATCCAATTTCAAATAAGTTTTAATCTTAAACACTATCTATGTAGAGAGGCAAACATTCTTAAAATTATCTTCTAGATCCATCGTTCAAGTGTATCCTTCAATATATCCAATATTGAAATATTTTTCTTCATTCTGTATTAATAAACTGAATTTCAGTGTTCTCTTTTAATTATAATTTTTGATTCTTTCTAGTTCCCTCTACTGTCCACTTGAAGCTCTTATGGGCTAACTCCTTGTCTGGAAACTCTGGTCTACTTGCCAACTCTTCATTCCACTGTGTTTTTAAGCTCCACTTTTTATAGAGCCATTTTCAATATTCATTTCTTTCTGGAAGTCAGTATAGGTGTAACATTGTTGAAATGACTTTCATCTATCAGCATGTGGGTGCAGACCTACTATAAAATTATGATCCAGACTTTTAACTTTTTCAGGAAGATCAGAAATCAACCCCAGGCAATGATACTGAACACTACCAAAAAAATCCATCCAGAAGAGCGAATTCTGCCTATCCAGATACAAATAGCAGCTATCCACAAGAGCAACCAAAGAAGTTTCAGTTCCATGCCAAGATCTGAAATCTGTTTGAAAATAATCTAGATAACTCTTCATCTAAGATCCTTTATAGTTTCAGTGCTATTGCCATCCCCTAAGGTAGAAATAAAACAGCGAGATGGATAGCGAGATGGCTTCTTCAAAGGTGCATCAATACCTCATTCAAAGCTGGGGATACAACTTCCTTCTTCAAAGAAGCCTTATCACTTCCAATCTTTACAATTCTTCCTTAGCTGATCAAGGAAGCCAGATGGAACATGAGTCCATTCTTCAGTCAAGATCTTCGGAGTCTACAATATCCAAGAATCTCAGATCATTCTGGAAGACAGTGTTCTAGTTACCTTACATGTCTAGACAATCTGGGATCTAAATCAGAACAAAAATGAGTAATTTTTGTTCAAGAAATTTTTTTTTTTGCAAACAGATGCTAAAAAAAGATTATTCTGCATATCCATCCTCAATAGGGAAAGCTATTTAAGCAGTTTCATTGATTTTATCTTTACCAGATAACTCACTCCAGATCTTTATCCATGCAATAAGTAGAGAAGATTCAACCCAACTGGAGGCAATTTAGCCCAGCTTGTAGTCAACGTATCAACAAACTTATTCTTCTGATTGTCTCTAGGCACAGACGTTGTGCCAGACAGAAAATTTTGTCACAAAAGGACAACAAATGATTAGTTAATTTGTTAATTTTTTACCACCAGGGAGGGAAAAGCTATTTATAGGAATTTCTATCTCAAGTACCTGGGTAAACTAGGACATCACTGTATTTTCCTGCATCTGTGACTCAAGGAAGAAAGGGAAAAATGCATTATTATTGGGGTTGTACAGCTATACAATGGCTTATCATGCAAAGCATCTGTCATGTGGATGAGTTTACATGTGGTGTAGGGTTTCCTGCCTAAGCAGGGAGTTGGACTAGAAGACCTCCAAGGTCCCTTCCAACTCTGTTATTCTATTCTATTCTATCTCACATCTTTTCTAGAAAACCTCCAATTTCTCCATATATATATATATATTTAAGGATTAAAGTCCAAATCACTCGTCTTCTGTTCAAATTCTCTGTTTCCCCCCCCCCTTCAGTCTCCTTTGGAAAGATCCTGTGCGCTAACATTTCTTTAACTATGAGGCTCAGTTTTTCTCTGAGGGAAGTGCAAGACAGCCTAGAAAACATAAAAAGGAAAGAAGAGAATCTTCTTACGCTTTTCCTTTAGACTTAACAAAACAAGCATCTAGTCTTGAATAATCCTTGCCACTGAATACAAGTTGCTCAATAGATGGTTTGTGTACTGAGCTCAGGGTGGAAATGATCCAACAAAGAGAGAGCGCGAGAGGTGACCAGACTGTGCCACTCATCTGATTAAAATTCAGCTCCCTAAATTGCCACCCAGCACCAAAAGAATTTTGCTGCTTTTATACCCTACCGTTCTTATTTTAAAATTTAGATTATGAGAGGCCTATGTATTCTTTTGGCTGCATGGAAGATACCGGTAGGTATTCCCAGACACCGTTTGAAGAGCCTGGACACACAACTCTCAGCCAAAACTTTACCACTAATGGAACTTTCTTTTTTGTTATTGCTTACCAAATGCTTATATGGGAAACTCCCACTTCTCTTTTGTTATTGAGAACCATTTATTGTTGTTGGGTTTTTAGAGCAATTTTGAATGGACAATTCTGAAGGACATTGTCCATCCACATATAGGCATCTTGATGAAAATAATGAAATACAGTAATCTGGTCAAATACATGGCTCTATTCTTATTGCTTTTGAAGAAAAATCATAGAAATTATTCATGTTTAGATGTAGATGGCTGATAAAACTTAATAAAACTAGCAGCTGATTCAATGGGTGTGGAGAATTATAAGAACAATTTTCAAACAAAACACACTAACCACTCTCCCTTGAATTTTGAAAAATGGTTTGAACCAGGTATAACACTGAATCAAGTACAGCAAACAAATGAAAATTAGTTCTGATCATGTAGAGCAGGGGTTTTAAACCCAGTGGCTGGATCCAGCCCGTGGGGTGCTTAAATCTGGCCCACGGGGCCACCCTGGAAACAGCGAAGGACCATCCCATGGTGCCTCTGCCATGAAAAAAGAACTCGGGAGGGCCATGCACAGCCCTCCAAGACTCTGTTTTCGGCTGTGACAGCGTCCTGCATCCCTCTGCCATTGAGCCCATTTTTGCTGGCAGAGCACTCAGGCCACCACAGGCACTCCCCCTGATAAGAGTGATGTCAATCTGGCCACGCCTACCCTGGGCCCCCGAGGTCAAATACAACCCTGATGCGGCCCTCAATGAAATTGAATTTGACACCCTTGGTGTAGAGAATTGACCTCCCAGAATTCTTCTGGTGGAGACCTCTCATTCTTGTGATGGTTGCACCAAGTACAGCCAGAGTACAGTTTGTTGTTTCTCTTACCCGGCAACTGCTCAGGATTTATTTTTTTACAGATGAAAAGAAATTGCTGCAAAAGAAGAACAAAGAGGGAATAACTGGATTTCTTTTGTTTTTTGTCCTTCTGTTTGGCTAGTTAAAGAAATATTGTACAGAATATGGGAAGAAGGAGATGAAAAATAGGGACACTGTAAAGCTGCAGAAGGTAAGAAAGACACAGTCAGTGACTATATATGAAGGAGCCATAAATTGTATTGTTCCAAGTGCAGACAGTGGCTATAGGGTGAAACGTAAGTTTTGGAATCATAGCTTGACTTTGAACAACTGGTTATGAGTTATAGTACTCTTATAGATTTGAAGGATTTATTATATATAATTTTATCTGTTTTAGATTGTGTTATTATTAAGGTGTGCTTGCAATTCTGGTTTTACTCTTTATTGTGGTTGGCCATTTTCTTCCTTTTCAGATGAAGAAGTGTATAAAGTTAAATACCCTGTTTCCCCTAAAATAAGACATTCCCTGATAATAAGCCCAATCAGGCCTTTGAGCACATGCGCTAAAATAAGCGCCCCCTGAAAATAAGCCCTCCCTGAAAATATTTAAACGCATGCACAGCCAGTCCCCATTTCTTCTGATTTCCTCCATGTGACCCAAAATAATAAGACCTCCCCGAAAATAAGGCCAAGCACTTATTTCAGGGTTCAAAAAAATATAAGACAGGGTCTTATTTTCAGGAAAACACGGTAAATACAATTCAATTTATAATCCTAAAAAGAAATTAAATTTTGTCCCAAAAGGAACATCACAAAATTCCAAATCCAACTTTCTGTCCTGCAAAATACAGGCTCAGGATTGGGAAGAAGAGGTAGGCATTTATTTTAGGAAAGCTGAACTGGGGATGAGTCTTTGTGGATGTCCTTGCTTAGTGGCCTAATTTAGACAGTTTATTAGTTAAACAGGAAAAAAAACACCTTTTGGAGAGAGGTGTGATTACATCCTCGGAATTTTTTATTTTGTCTTCAGCAAAATAGTACTTTCAGAAAAACAAGATTAGAGCATTTCACATTTGTTTTTGTTTGTTTGTTTGTTTCCTGCCTTTACTATTTTTACAAATTACTCCAGACAGCAAACATATCCAATTTATCCTCCTATTTTCCCTACCACAACAAGGTTGGTCTGAGAGAGAGTGACTGGCCCAAAGTCACCCAGTTGACTTTCTTGGCTAAAGTGAAACTTGAACTCACAATCTCCTGATTTCCAGCCTAGTGCCTGTGTAATATAGATTACCAATGACATAATATAGATTCATGAAATATTTGTTAAAAATACATCTTGTAACAAAATACGATCATTTTCCATCCCCCTTTTAAAGATTATTTGTATAATGTACAAAACTATTTTGTTTTATCTGTTGTGCTGGCAGTGCATTCTGGGAATACCTAGCATCATCCATTATATTGGCTTAGGTCCGGGTATTTGCAGAACCATCTCCTACCTGCCTCCCACCGTCCTGTCCGCTCACACAGGGCTGCCCTCCTCATGGTACCGTCGACCAGACAATGTCGGCTGGCGACGTCCAGGGGTAGAGCATTCTCTGTGGGCGCTCCTGCCCTCTGGAATGAGTTAACCACTGAGCTCCGGACGGCGCCTGATCTCCGCTCCTTCCATCGAGGCCTAAAGACTTGGCTGTTTCAACAAATGGGCTGATTCTGATTCTTGGGTTTTATTATTTATTTGTCCCTATTTTAACTGGTTTTTAATTAGGATTCTCCTTTTTTATTGTATGTTTTTAACTTATGTTCGCCGCCCTGAGTCCTTTGGGAGAAGGGCGGCATATAAATATTGGTAAATAAAATAAAATAAATATTGTCCAACTTGGAAGAGAAGGAAGCAGAAAATACTGAGATAACCATGAGATTCTCACTACAGCAATTTTTATCCAACAAAAAATAATGCCCTTGCGCACCCACAGACCCTCCCAAATATTGAAAAACCCATTGCCATCCTCAATTGCTGCCGTTATCCCAGTTATACTGCCTTTGCCCTTATACTTCACTTCAGCCACAAAACATCCATTATACAAGCTTTCAGCCCAATAGACAGTTTACTCAGCTGCTCTAAATTTTAGGGTCAAATGCAATATTGTAGTCTATTTCAGTTACAATTAGATACAGGCAAATGGAAAGACAAGCGGAAATGGTCAGACAATGAACAAAACTTTGTTGTTCATACGAACATGAGGCGTTTTGTTGTTAAAATAAATGCAGTATATTGCATTAAGCACTGGTCTTATTCATGCATTCATTCGATAATAGCCCATAAGTGATTCTTTAAAAGAAGTATTGCAATAGCTTTGTGATTGGGTTTGGCTTCGTGGAAGAGAATTGTGAACAAAAAGTTCATGTCCTTGATATTTGGATCGCCTAAATGTGAAACTGGAATTGACAGACAGGTCAGCCAAAATATTGTGTCGGAGCCATTTTTCCATCCAGACATATGGAGAGATGGTGGTGATGGTGATGGAAATGTTATTTGTAACTAAATGCTGTTGTACAACAGGATGAAAACAGGAAATGGTTCAGATCAGTGTGTATCCTGCAATAAAATATTGGAGTTTAGAGTGCTCCTGTTTGTGATATTCCCATTTCATTTTTTCATTATTTTTTGTCTTCACAGTCACACCAGAACTTCTGAAGTGTTCAGTTTTTATGGAGCTAAATTGAAGGAAGGGCAATGTATCTCCTTAGATGTATTTTCTGTAGAATGCTTGTTTTTTTCCAGGCTTTTCTCAGCTTACTGTTTTCTTTCTTTTGTTTTTGGATGGTGTACTCTTGGCTACACAGGATATGACACTCCAACAACTGAGATTGTTATAGATCAATCTTCGCAGTCATGGTATGCTTTGGAGGGGTTTGAGCTACAACTGTCTGAAAATCTTTGAACCAAGGGTGAAATCCAGCAGGTTCTGACAGGTTCTGGAGAACCAGTAGTGGAAATTTTGAGTTGTTCAAAATTGAGTTGTTCGGAGAACCGGCAAATACCACCTCTGGCCCCAGAGTGGGGTGGGAATGGAGATTTTGCAATATCCTTCCCCCAGGAGTGGGGAGGGAATGGAGATTTTGTAGTATCCTTCCCCTGCCATGCCCACCAAGCCATGCCCATCAAGCCACACCACACCCACCAAGCACGCCCACAGAACCAGTAGTAAAAAAATTTGGGTTTCACCACTGCTTTGAACAGAGTAGTATTAATAGCATTGTGATTAACACCAGCTGTCTGCAATTACTGTAAGTTCAAATCTTACTAGGTTCAAGGTTGACTCAGCCTTCCATCCTTTCTAAGGTAGGTAAAATGAGGACCCAGTTTGTGGGGGCAATAAGCTGATTTTGTATAAATATACAAAAGTATGAAGGCTATTGCTTAACGCATTGTAAGCCGCCCTGAGTTTCCGGAGAAGGGCGGCATATAAATCAATTTTTTTAAAAAAATATCTTGATGGCACCACATTGGGGAATTCTCTCTATAAGCTTTTGGTTGGTTAAAAGGAATACGGTAAAAAGTAATATTTTGCTGAGTACTAGAGTTGAAAGAAAGGTGGCTAATTTTATATAACATACTAAGTTAAAATGTGCTGGATAGCTTGTAGTTCAGATTGTTAGGGACTCTGGCCATTGTTTCAGTATGTTGCATGAATCAGACCATGAATTAAATCATACAGTAATTTGTTCAGTTCTAGTTGCAGTATCATCTTGGACGTTCTGGAAAAAAAATTAAATAGAATTGGACTTGATCCTGAATGGAGATTATGGGAAATACCATGACTGTTTGCTAGACTAAGAATGTTTATTTTAAGCATGCTTGAAAAAGTCACAGAGGAAAAATTATTATTGCTGATGCCTGTGAAGTAATCAGGAGTTAAGCTAAATTTAAAGGAGTTGTTATCTTTTGTGGGGATAACACCGGGGTGGGCTGCTGGGGGTTCACAGGGATTCAGGAGAACCTCTAGCTAAAATTCTGTGCAGTTCAGAGAACCCCCAAATCCCACTCCTGGCTGCCCCCCATCCCACCCCTCCCAGAAGTCCCCACGTGGCCCATTTTGGATGCAGGTAGATGCAGGGCATGCATGGAAGCTCGAGGAGGGTGGAAAACAGGCCTACTGGAAGTTCAGGAAGGTTGGAAATGGCCTTGGGAGCCTATGGAGGCCGCTTTCACTCTCCCGGAGGCTCAGAAAATGCCTCCAAAGTCCGGGGAGGGCAAAAATGCCCCCCCACCATGGTGCAGGAGGCCAACTAGGCCATGCCCACCATGGCCACGCCCACCCAGCAACCAGGCAGAGAACCCCTTGCTAAAATGTTTGAAGCCCAGCCCTGGATAACACCTTATATGACTATAAATGTAAACTGAGTTCAGCATTAAGTGTGTTCAATAAGCAAATCTATTTGGTCTAAGTCCAAGTTCTGGTATAACATAATGGTGTAAATGTATAAACTACAGAATATGGGTTGTTTGTCTCAACCATCACTTCCTCAGTGGCCTTAGGCAACCATTCATCTCCCTCAGTTTATGTACATACACACACAGCACAGAATGAAGCTGCCATTGATTGAACCCAAGATCGTCTCTACACAAAACACTCGCTGCACTACTGGGGTCAGTACAAGTAGTCCTTGACTTCCGACCACAATTGAGCCAAAATTTCTGTTGCTAAGGCAGAAGGTCGCAAAAGGAGATCACATAACCCTGGGACACTGCAACTGTCATAAATATGAATCAGTTGCCAAGCGCCTGAATTTTGATCACATGAACATTGGGATGCTTCAATGGTTGTAAGTGTGAAAAACAGTCCTAAGTTACTTTTTTCCAGTGCCGTTGTAACTTTGAACAGCCACTAAATGAACTGTTGTAAGTTGAGGACTACTTGTATCCTTCCCACCTCAGGACTGGTGACTTATACTTGGAAAATTTCAGGAAAATCAGAACATCACGTCAAACAGTCCTTCTAAATAAACTGCAATTATTCTTCTCGTTTCATAACTTAGTGTACCCTAGATTGTAAGAAAAAGACTATATACTCAATCAACATGATCTATGGGAATTGTGGGAATTTTAATTCCAGCACATCTGGGGTCATCAGGTTGGAGAACATAGAAGTAGTACTTTTATATGTTTCTCCATTTTTGGAAAGAAATAAGAAGCATTCTATGATGTACTTTTGCTATTGTTTCTTCAGGTAACTGTATTTTATGGGTTTGTATCACATTGACCATAAATTAGCTACATGAGATTTGTTCCCACAATACATTAGGCTAAAATAAAGTTGGCTTAGTTTATAATGCTGTATATGCAATGCCTATAATTCTGTAAAGAATTTTGATGACTTATGAAAATGAAGTTTCACATCTTTGTGCAATCTCAACAATTATAACACGAATAAAACTCTTACATTGCAACCTTATGAAGGAGACTTACTTAAAAGTAAGTGTCACTGACTTCCAAGCGACGGAAGGCTTACTTCCAAGCAACTGTTCATTGTAGCTTTAAGAAGCTGGTAGAAGTTGGGGAATTCTAGAAGTTAAAGTCCAATCATCTTAAAGTAGTCAAGTTTGAAAAACAGTGCTCTCGGCTGAGAACATAACTCAATTGGTGTAATGCATTTTTCCTGAAATGATTTTTTTTAAAGGTGGAGGAAATGAAAAACTCAAAATGTTAATAATGCTTTACCTTGTAACAGCCCAAAACTCTAATGAACATTTAAAAAAAAAAACAGAATAATGTCATGATTGCCACCAAAGAGCCTTGGTGGTGCAGCGGACTAAGTGCTGTTACACTTAGTGCTGTAGCACTTAGCTGCCAGCTGCCTGCAATTAGTGCGAGTTCAAATCTCACCAGACTCAAGGTTGAATCAGCCTTCCATCCTTCCGAGGTAGGTAAATTGAGGACCCAGATTGTGGGAGCTATAAGCTGAATTTGTAGAAACACTGCTTATGGGTGGGGGGGCAAAAGCCCTAATAAGTAGGTATATACAAAAGAATGAAGGCTATTGCTATAAGTGCATTGTAAGCTGCCCTGAGTCTTCGGAGAAGGGCAGCATATAAATTGAACTAATAAATAAATAAATAATAAATGATCAATTATGATCAGTGATCGGAATGAAAAAATGGAAACCAATGTGCTAAGCCATTTTTGCTGTGGTTGCCAGGATTGCTTCCCCATGTTTACATAATTAATCCAATATTCTGGTTATGCAGAATATGATAAATACAGGATTCATACATATACCATATGTGCTTGGAGTGATAGTACTTCTGACTTTCAAGCAAACCCAACTAATGTGGTTTTCTTGTTTGTGGATTAGAAAGTTGGATGAACTCAGCAAATTTATCAACTATTACATTGGTTTAGCTTTTTGACAGATAACTGTCTCAGTTTTACTGTCTTGAATACTCCAGTTAATTCTCAATGCAGCTGTAGTACAAATTTCGCTCTCTCCCTCTCTTAAACTATCTAGTAGTATTCCACTCGGCTATGAAATATTTTGTTGTTCTATGTCTTTGCTACAGAAGCTGTTGAAATCACTCCAGAAATGAAATTCTGCTTCTACTTCGCTATTTTTCAGATAAATCATCTCTCTAGTCATCGGTTTATACAAGGCAGATGTCCATATGATGTTGTCAGGGTTTCAAGGTTATTGTCCTAATACTCTTAATAAAGTCCTATTCCACAATATTTCAAGTTGTATTCTCATTGCCAGCAATTTGCTGATAAGATAAAATGGAGTTGAGGGAACAAAGCACAATTTATTGATGATGCTCTTTTTGTTAAATATATTATCAAGGTCCAGGTCATTTTATAAATCATTTAAAAACGTATTAAAATGTTTATCACAAGTCTGGACAGCATAGCCCTCTAATTGCAATTAGGATATATAAGGTGCCAACTAAACATATCTGCAACCAAGTTCAAATAGCGCACTAAGCCATGATCTGCTGACAAAACCAGTTTCCTGGATTTATACCCTATGCTAGGCATAAGCCACAATGGCATTCAGACAATATCAAATAAGTCTTAAGGTTATATATGAATCTCAGCTTGTGTCATTACAGTTTGTGACTATGAATCACACAAAATCACCAGTCACATGCTAACTCTTCCCTCTCTTTGCAAATGTTGCTTGTGGAAATGGCAACTTTATCTATAAAACAAAATTATGATGTATCATATAAAAACAGCACCAGGAATAATCTTTTACTAAATTCTTAGGTAAAAGAAATTTCTGATGTTTACGAAATACATATACATATATTTTGTCAACAGCAAAATTATTTTATCGGATTGTGATCATTCTTTTCAGCACCTAGTGACTGATGCTTATAAAAGTGAGATAATGAAAGATTTTGTATTTTATTAGATATATATGGCTGCCCATGCTGCTGTAACAAATTTCAGCAAATAATAATTATTATTATTATTATAAAACAGGCCCCAAACAATCAATATAAGGTATTAATTCCCAAATTTGAGAACAATTGAGCCCAAAATTTCTGTTGCTAAATATGACATTTGTTAAGTGAGATTTGCCCCATTTTACGACCTTTCTTGCCACAGGTGTTAAATGTATTACTACAGTTGTAAAGTGAATAACATGGTTGTTAGTGAACCTGGCTTCCCCATTGACTTTGCTTGTCTGAAGGTTGCAAAAGGTGATCACATGATCCTCGGACACTGCAACCGTCATAAATATGAGTCAGCTGTAAGTGTGAAAAAGGGCCATAAGTCACTTGTTTTAGTGCCGTTGTAACTTTGAATGGTCACTATATGAACTGTTGTAAGTCAGAAGCTAGCTGTATAAGACCAATTCTGATCATCAAGGTAAAAGCGGTGCAATAAATTAAGAGTACCCCAGCTAACTTCCAGCTTCCATGCCCTGGAGCACATCCAGGTCTTTAAGGCTTAATGATAGGCCAGTAGAGTTGGGTTATGACTCTTCATACAATGTAAATCAGTGTCGTGCACACATTTTGCCCCTGCTTCTTTGTCTCTTTGTGTTCTCTAACATCTGTTCAAGTAAGTTTCATCACTATCAAACACTACTTTTTGTTAATAATTTAATTGCAAGGATTTAAATGTTCAAGTCAAAAAAGTAGTAGCAAAATTATCATTATCTATATTAAGATGAAAAAGAAGTGATTTCTAAAACAACAGGATTCAAAACTCATAGAATCTGTGATGCAAGCTATAAAAATACCACAGTTTGAAATTATCCTCATTTATTAGGAGTTGTCAGTGGTTTTATCAGGGGATGCAGTGGTTCATTGGGCTTAATGACGCTGGAACTGCCCATCAGAAATGGTGAGTGAGCTCCCGTCGCTCGATCCTTAACTCCTGCCCACCCAGCAGTTCGAAAGCGCGCAATATTGTGAGTAGATAAATGGGTACCACTTTAGTGGGAAAAACCTAGCTGCATTTGTGTGTGAGGAGAGCAGACGCCGGTGCTGGACCTGGATGGACGTGAGGCAATGCAACACAAGGTGAGGCGAGGCGAGGCGAGGTTGGCAGAGGTGCCTGGAAAAACCAGCAACCCAAGCAACACTTGCTAATTGGTGTAAAGCTAGTTTGACCCCTGCGGTGCATCAAGGATAGGTGCACAAGTGCCAAACAGAATGAACGAGCAACCTAGGTTGTCAGGACTGCATCTAGCATATGTAGATTTCCTTGACGTTGTATGCTATACACTAAATTAATAAGTAGTTTCACTAATATTGAATCTGTATTGGTTTCTCCCATTATTACAGTTGGGAAAGCTAAAGGAATACGATCAGGTTCACACATTCCATTAAACCATATTTTTTCTAAGCATGGTTTATTAAATCAATGCTTGCAAAAGCACAAACCTTTGTTTACAAACAACATGAGCTGAATGTTAAGCCAAAACCAAACAAGTGACTATATGAAATAGTTTGGTGTATGATTTCATGAATATACAGTTATGTGTCCACATGGATTATGGATTGCCTTCCTTGTTCAATATGAACAATGCCTGATACCCTTAAGGAATCGAGTCTTAGCCATTCTTGATTGCTAAACACAATACTTCTAACATTCCAGAACATTTTCTTTCAATTCTGAAGCTGCGTCCTAAATACTGAATCAGCTGTAAACCCATAGATATTTGCAACATATCACTTGATCTGTCCATGATAAAATGAATGGGCCCTAAACTTACACTTGTCCTGTAAAGAACAACTGGAAGTGAACTTAATTCAGAACAACAGCAACATATTTATATTTAATACATGTCGATTGCCTTTTTACTTTAAGGCTTCTCTGAAGCATAATCCCCAAGCCTATCTAGTGCAACATTATGTTTTCACATTATCTAGAGACAGAAACATATGAGTCTATAAACAGAATATGAGTGCATGAGCAATTATGACTAGAGAGATACGACTCTGATAAAGAAAGCACATAGCAAATTAATGTTTAGAAAAGAAGAAAGTTTGTTCAAGTATCTGATAAATTCTACAAGATAACAACCTAAGTGTCTATTTTGCTCTGTATCAACCTGTCCTTCTTTTCAAGCTCTTTCAGTGTTATCTGGCAGACCCTCAGCAAGCATTGCAAGAAATCAAGATGCCTCCATCAAAGGAATTCTGAAACATAACCTGTGAGCGATAAGAAGGCAGGCAGGCAGGCAAGAAGGCCGGCAGGCAGGAAGGCCGGCAGGCATGCAAACAGGAAGGAAGGAAGGAAGGAAGGAAGGAAGGAAGGAAGGAAGGAAGGAAGGAAGGAAGGAAGGAAGGAAGGAAGGAAGGAAGGAGCTTCTCCAGCTCCAATTTGGCAGTAGTGAATCTTGTGCTTTGAAATGGCAAAGAGAAAGATGGAGTCTGCTTTCTCCAAAGCTTGTTTGGACAGCATTCTTAATGAGTGATTAAGAATTGTTTGTTGAGCACTGCTTCAGCAGGGTTTCTTCTCTTTTCTTTTGGACGGTTTCATTTCACAGCCAATGGAGGGGCCTTCTGTATTGTCCAAGGAGGGAGGGAAGCGTGCACTTCATTGGATCTTTGCTCCTTTGGCTCCCTCCTTCCTCCTTTGTTGTATGTTCACAGTCACTCTTCGGGTGCCCCCTGCTTCCAATCCCTGTTTAAAGCAGAACTGCAAACTCATAATATTTTGCCTTCTTCCCTCCCATAATTACAAGCAGCTGTTTCCCTCTACAATACCACCCCCTCCCCAAATCCGACTCTCGGCAATCACCATGGAGATGTCACTAGTAGGAGCAAGGCTGTGGCTATGGAAACCTGCTAGTACTTACTCTTCCTTGTAAAGTTTTCTCCTCGTGTGAGGGAATGTGAAGGAGCAGTAAACACAGGGACTACCGGATGCATGTAAGATTTAGCGATAATATTTTGATTTGTGTAGAAGGCGCTTGAATATATGCACATATACTGTATACTGTACACATGCATATGTATACACATGCATATATTTATATATCTACGTATATGAGAACTACTTTTGTGTATTAGTTAAGGTATCAGGCTAATAATTCTAGCACCACCTTAGGCATGAAGCCACTTGAGTGACATCACCGGGTGTCAACCTTGATTCAAAGGGGTGTGTGTTTGTGCATATTTGTGTGTGTGAGGGGGGGGGGGGAAGGAGAGATATGATAGATAGATAGATAGATAGATAGATAGATAGATAGATAGATAGATAGATAGATAGATGATAGATGATAGAAGATAGATAGATAGATAGATAGATAGATAGATAGATAGATAGATAGATAGATAGATAGACAGACAGACAGACAGACAGACAGACAGACAGACAGACAGACAGACAGACAGACGGGGAGGGAGAGGCAGAGGCAGAGGCAGAGGCAGAGGCAGAGGGAGAGGGAGAGAGATTTAGTACCACAGCCACTTCAAGTTTAAAATATGAATTTCAAAAAAATTTTGAACTTTTTCTGGCAAAGTCAAACACTACAAATATTGGTTGGTTGTATGGTAGTCCTTGTACAAAGTCCTTGTTTTAGTAATATTTTGTGGGCTAAAGCACATTGACTTGGTTCACTCACTGAAATAAACCAAAAACGTACTTTTCCGTCTCCAGTAACTGAATGTATACAGAGTTTTAAAACTAACCAAACAATGCTACAACTTCGCTATGTCAACGCAGACATTGTGACACATTCTTTTGGTGCAGAATTGTAGATCCTTTACTGATTCAAAATTATTTATATGACATTTTACATTTGTCTGTAACTTTATTTTTTACATTTCTTGTGTGGCAAAGAGGCAGTCCCAGAACCAGCGAAATCTGGGGGCTGGGCAGGGGAAAGAATGTATCTGCCCTCAGTGTGGAAGGGATTGCCACTCTCGAATTGGCCTTTTTAGTCACACTAGATGCTGTTTTAGTACCTCTTTCCAGAGCACGATACCATATTCTCTTGAGAATGAAGGATGCCAATGATTTCTTGTGTGGAATTCAATGTTAATGTTAAAGACCATTTGTAGTAGTAACTTGGTGTATGGCCAGCCACTCCCTTCTGTCTCATATACAAATCCCCAAATATCTATACCAAGTCAAGTCAAGTCAGTGTTTATTACAGTCAAAGACCAGAGCAAGTTAAAAACAGCCAAGGAAATCCAGTTAATACCAATATCAGTTGAACCTGTCTACAAACAATCCTATATAAGTAAAATTCATATTTCAATCAAATC